AGTTGCTAGGCACTGTACTTATTATTATTATTATTATTAAACAATTAGGATCATTTGAGTGGACTTACTGGCAGGTTATTTTCATACAGAGAGGTTATTTCACTCTTTTCAGCTACTTCTATTTCATTTAATTTTCCACGCAGTTTCTGTCTTTACTATTCTCTATCAGCTTCAGGACGTCTTTCATTTGACCCGTTCCATAATGCACTAAGCATTGGTTCATGAAAACTTTGCCTTCTGGCTACCTTATCTACTATCACAGATAAGATGTCAGAAACAAAAGAAACAGCAAGCATGTTTCAAAGACACTCCTCTGAAAAGAATGTACAGGGGACCTCACTAATAATATCTAATGCAGAATAACTAGCAACTTAGAAACTTTAGTTTCTGTGTTGATTTACTGTATGGAGATTATCTCATCTCATAAAATTACACACATATCTCATCCTTGATTAGCGATTGTGTGCACTGAATGGACATAGCCAACTTTTTTAAGAAGAAAAAGCCTTTAATACAGGTAAAAACTCTTTGGAAAAAAAATCACTGTAAACTCTCTGTTGCAATGGAGTATCTTCCTCCAGGGAACAATAAATAACAAATGCAAATATTACTAGGAGTTAAATATATTGAAGCCATAGGATCCTTTCTGATTTTGGAAATTAATCAACAACCAAGGAATGCCAGGTTCTTCGGGCTATATTTCAGAGGAGGGAACTAGCCGAGCTTTCTCCAAGTCTTGCTTTGTCAGAAAAACCTTCCCAAATTCATGCGGTGTTTTAAGTTGATATACAACTTGAAAGTGCACACAAACACACACAAGTATTACTCACTGGATCTGCGGTTCTTCATCATCACAATCGCACTGAGAAACATCAGAATCTCTACTTCCCGCTAGAAGAAAGACAACATATTGAAAGGCAGTATGAATACGGGTCTATAAAAGTTGTTTTACCATAAGGTAGGCAAAACATTTAATGGCAGACAAAAATTATGTCATTTAAGTTTTGCTTTCTAGCTGGTTAACAAATATTCATATTTTCTGATCTAATAACACAATTGGAGGAAGAAAAAGAACTTTATTTTTCTACCCAGCCTCCATCTCCCCGAAGGGACTCGGGGCAGCTTACATGGGGCCAAGCCCAAGGCAATATACAATTAAAAACAGTACAATAACAAGTTAAAATTGCATAAAACAGCATAAATAATAATAAATTTGGAGGGGGGGGGGAGGAAGTCACTATGCAAACTGGTTAATGGATAGGGTGATATAATAGGTGGATAGAAACATATAGTAGCATAGGAAATAGCATGGAAACAGAGAAATTAAACAGGATCAATTTGGCTTAACTTAAAAATATAGTAATGTAATATAGGAATTCAGATTCAGGTCATGATTTAGGTCAGTTAGTAAGGTTTTTAAAAACTATGCCACAAAATCCTGTTTTTATATATGAGAGGACATTTATTTATTTATTTATTTACGCTATTTGTATACCGCATTTATCAGCCGTGACCGGCGACTCAATGCGGTTTACAGTAAAAGTTGTGCACACTAACAATGTAAAGACAAACATACACAAACGACACACATATAGACATCAACGCCTCACATAAAATCAGATTCCGTTCTCACATTCCATTGCCGTTCCTTGTTCAGTTATGCCGTCTTCCTGGATTTAATTGCAATTGCACAGCTATCCGAACGCCTGCTCAAAGAGCCACGTCTTAACCCTCCTCTGAAACACCAGCAACGAAGGGGCCTGCCTGATATCCACTGGTAGGGCATTCCATAGCCGAGGGGCCACCACCGAGAAGGCCCTGTCTCTCGTCCCCGCCAACTGCGCTTGTGACGCTGGCGGGACCGAGAGCAGGGCCTCCCCGGACGATCTTAACGTCCTCGGTTGGTTCATAGGAGGAGATGCGTTGGGAGAGGTAAGTTGGGCCAGAACCGTTTAGGGCTTTATAGGCTAAAGCCAGCACCTTGAATTGTGCCCGGTAGCAGGATTGGCAGCCAGTGGAGCTGGCTCAACAGAGGAGTGGTATGCTCCCTGAGTGCCGCTCCTGTTAGCAACCTGGCTGCCGCGCGCTGTACCATCTGAAGCTTCCGGGCAGTCTTCAGGGGCAGCCCCACGTAGAGCGTTGCAGTAATCTATGCGGGATGTGACGAGAGCGTGGACTACCGTGGCCAAGTCCGGCTTCCCAAGATACGGGCGCAGCTGGCGCACGAGTTTTAATTGTGCAAATGCTCCCCTGGAAACCGCTGAAACCTGGGGTTCCAAGCTTAGCGAAGAATCCAGGGTCACACCCAAGCTGCGAACCTGCGTCTTCAGGGGGAGTGCGACCCCGTCCAGCACAGGCTGTAACCCTATACCCTGTTCGGCCTTACGACTGACCAGGAGTACCTCTGTCTTGTCTGGATTGAGTTTCAATTTGTTCACCCTCATCCAGTCCGACACAGCGGCCAAGCACCGGTTCAGGACCTGGACAGCCTCCTTAGTAGTAGGTGGAAAGGAGTGACAGAGTTGGACGTCATCTGCGTACAGATAACACCGCACCCCGAAACTCCGGATGATCTCTCCCAGCGGCTTCATGTAGATGTTAAATAACATGGGGGACAATATTGAACCCTGCGGGACCCCACAAGTCAATGGTTGTGCGGCCGAGCAGTTGTCCCCCAGCAACACCTTCTGGGTGCGATCCTCTAGGAAGGACCTGAGCCACTGTAAAACAGTGCCCCCCAGGCCCATTCCCACGAGGCGCCCCAGAAGGATACCGTGGTCGACGGTATCGAAGGCCGCTGAGAGGTCCAGCAGAACCAACAGGGACACACTCCCCCTGTCGAGCTCACGCCGGCGCAGATCATCCACTAAGGCGACCAAGGCTGTCTCGGTACCATGTCCCGGCCTACAGCCAGACTGTGCCGGATCCAGATAATCCGTGTCTACCAAGAATGCCTGGAGTTGTGAGGCCACCACACGTTCCAGGACTTTGCCCAAAAAGGGGAGATTGGAAACAGGCCGATAGTTGACGAATTGAGTGGGGTCCAGTGATGGTTTTTCAACAGCGGTTTTATTACAGCTTGTTTTAAGCTGGCTGGAATTTTGCCTTCCCGAAGGGAGGCATTAACCACCACCTTCACCCACTCGGCCAAGCCCCCTCTGGCCTCCTTTAGAAGCCAGGATGGGCAGGGGTCTAGGATGCATGTGGTTGCCCTCATCCCTCCAAGCACCTTGTCCACATCCTCAGGTTTCACCAATTGAAACGAATCCAACAAAATCGGACAGACAGGTGTTCTTGTCACATCCTCAGAGACCGCCGTTAACATGGTGTCCAGGGTGTTGAGGGGACATAATATACAAAGATGCTCGTGTATGTCAATTTGATAATCTTGACAACTATAATTGAAGTCTAATGTCTTGTCTAATTATATCTAGGATTTTAATCAGGAGTAGTTAATATGGGATCTAATGGATACACTTTTTCTGTTCCATCCACCCTTTCATCCTGATAAGGCCAACACTTTTGAGATCTAAACGTTTCCCGTCATTCCTTCACTTCTCTGAAAGAGAAGAGGAAGGGGCGGAAAAGGGACTTGGGGAGAACCCCCTCCCTTCTGGCCCACCCATCCCCAAGTTAGAAAGTTAGCCCATGCCTGGTCTAACAACTGAAAAATCGATTGCCAAGTATAAATATATTGGAATATCTTTTTTTTTCTTAAAAAACATACATATTACAGTTTTCCCAATGGGTCAGAATCCAATAAGTAATGACCCTAACAGGTCATAATCCTCCATTTGATTATGTGACCAGTGATTATCCAATAAGAATAAGAACAAAAGGGGACGAGGGAGAGGGTCTTCTCTGTGGTGGCCCCTCGACTTTGGAACTCTCTATCCAGAGAGATTAGACAAGTGCCCACCCTGGAAGCCTTCAGGAAGAGCCTAAAGCCTTGGTTGTTCCGGTGTGCCTTCGAGGAATGAACATCAAATTCCCATACCTTAACCAACTCTGTACTCTGACGCACAGTATCTTACCCTTTAGTTGAAATTAATTCCCATTGGTTGTCCCATCCGAACCCCACCAGATGCATCACCCTACTTATCCACCTCACCCAGGGTTTTACAGTCCTACCCGTTGTACTTGGCCCTGTCCATCGGCTTAATGTCTTTGCTTATTTTGTTGTATCCTGTGTTTATTTTATATTATTCTCCTTCTTTCTTTCCATGTATTTTATTGTACTTTATTTTATGGATTATTTTATGTATTGTATGTTGTATTCGTTTTGCTTTGTTGTTTATTATTATTATGATTATTATGATGATGACTGGGGGGCGGGAGGATCCATTCCGCCTGGGGAAGCGAGGCTTGTCGCCGTGCAGTCCCCGCCTGAAGGGCGAGGCGCGAAGGAGAAGGCCCGTCCGCCTGAAGGGGCCTGGGGCAGGCTCTCACCCAGTCGAAGTCGCAGGGGTTCCCGTCCTCGCGCTGGGAGGGCAGCCCATGGCACAGCGGCGGCACTTTCCGCACCAGCAGGAAGGCCACCGAGAGCAGGAGCGAGAGCGGGTAGTAGGGCTGGGCGAGCCAGCGGCAGATCCCCGGCACGGAGTAGAAGAGCGCAAGGAGGGGCGCCAGCACCGCCATCTTCACCTCCCACTGACCGAATCGCCGCACCGCGCGCCAACAGGTCGCCGCTTAGACCGTTCTTTGACACTCATTGGTCGAGGGACGCGTCAATCCAAAAAAGGCGGTTCTAAAGTTGACACCAAGCGCTTCGATTGGCCAACTCCGCACACACCAACGGCTACGGAGACTATAAACAAGAGCGCCTCTCTCCGGCGCATGCTATTGACGTTTCGGCGCCCCGTAAAATTGCATCAAGGGGAAGTGTAGGAACCAACCAACCAGAGCAAAGTTGGGTTTCCAGGGGAGCTAGCCAATCATAGCTAGGAGGCGGGTTCAGAGACCGCCAATGAAATCGAGGCAAGCGCATGGGATTGCCAAGACGCGGAGCCAATAGGTGGAGACTGCGCGAAGCACGCCGGGATGATGGAGAATTTTTCCGCTCTCTTCGGAGCGAGCGAACCTCCTCCGCCAGTCGCGGCTGCTGCGCTGGGCTTCGGCCCGGGGAAAGCGGGCGGGCCCGTGACGGGGCCCTCTCCCGTGACGGCCGTGGCTCCCATCGGAGAAGAGGCGGCGCGCAAGGCCGCGGCCGCCAGTGGGCCCTTCTACCTCATGCGGGAGTTGCCAGGTAGTGGCCGAGCGAGCGAGCGAGCGAGCGAGGGAGGGCGGGAGGGAGGCGGGCCCGGGAGGCCCTTTAAGCCAACCAGAAAGGGAGGCGGGCCTTGTGCTCTCAGCCAATGCGAGTTGGCCTTCGTGATGGCGTCAGGAGGGAGCTGTCCAATCGGTGGCCCAGTTGCCCCAGGTGGGCTTCTCCCTCTTCTGTGGGGATTTAATCTCACCAACGGTTAGGCGCGGTTAGGCGAGAAGTGATGGGCAGATAGCAGAGCGAATGAGGGAGCAGGGGACCTGGGGGCGGAGCCGAGCTCCTATTTTCTGCCTAGACTTGGCGCTGTAAGACCGGAAGTTAGAGAAGTTCATTGTTGAGAACGTGAGGTCGAGTCTCCCTCGCTGTTTACCCGAATCGAGGACACGTCTGCACGTGAACAGCCCTGGCTCCATTATTATTATTATGATTATGATTATTAAACTTTATTTGTACCCCGCTAGCATCTCCCGAAGGATTCGATGCGGCTTACACAGGCCAAGGCCTCAACACACAACATAACAATACAATCTAAGCAAATCAATTAAAAACAGAAAAGCAAAGTAAACCACAGGCACAATACACTAAAACACAATAAAACTGGGCCGGGCCAGAAGGTGGGTACAAAGATTAAAAGTGCTGATGTGACAGGAGGTGTATAAAGGGCATCATTCCAATGCTGTGGAATCATGGGACTTGTAGTTTAACAAGGTCGTTTGCTATGGGTGCCTCACCAAACTACAAGTCTCAGGATTCCATAGCATTGAGTTCTGGTGTGCCTTCGAGGAGTGAACATCATTCCTCGAAGTTGTCAAACTGCATTCATTTTGGGTTGTTGTAGGTTTTTTCGGGTTATATGGCCATGTTCTAGAGGCATTTTCTCCTGACGTTTCGCCTGCATCTATGGCAAGCATCCTGAGAGGTAGTGAGGTGCATTCATTTTACAGTGTAGGTGGGCCCTGGAAGGCTACTTGTTCCTGACCTTAAAGCTTTGTGGTATTTGATCAGTATGTTTACTTGTATTTTGTTATATTCCATGTATGCATTTAAATCCTTCAAAAGTGAAGATTTTTGACCGATACGACAACATTTAGGGCTCTTCCACACAGCCATATAACTCTGAATATCAAGGTAGAAAAATCCCATAATATCTGCTTTGAAATGGGTTATCTGAGTCCACACTGCCATATATCCAAAACAGATAATGTGGGATTTTATTCAGCTGCGTGGAACAAGCCTCAGGCTACACTAATATAATCCAGCTCAAAGTACATAATCTTGATTTTTTACAGCTGTGTAGAAGAATGCCTAAAGTCCCTTCCACACAGCTGAATAAAATCTAACAATATTTGCTTTGAACTGGGATATATGGAAGTGTGGACTCAGATAGCCCAGTTCAAAGGAATATTGTGGGTTATTCTTCCTTGATATTCTGGGTTATATGGCTGTGTGGAAGGGCCCTATGTTGCAGCAAAAACAACAACCAAAAATTTGAAGCAGATAATCTGGATTTTATACAGCTGTGCAGGAGGGGTCTTAGAAGACAAATCAACATAGACTTTCAGAATACAAAATACTTTGAAATTGTCCACATGGCTGGCAGAGATAGTGATAGCCTTTTAGTACACACAAACATCATAGAAAACACTATTTGAAATATTGTGTATAAAATACGTTCAAACTAGAAATAAGAGGTATATATGAAACATAAGTGAATTTCATGTTTAGACTCAGGTCCCATTCCTAGGATGTCTTATAATATACATACTAGCAAATAATAATAATAATAATACATCTTTATGTATATCCCACTTTTCTCCCACGAAGGGACCCAACATGTTAACATGCAGTAAAATAAAATACAATAGTAAATAAGCAACAGTTAGTGACACAAATGTAAAACATAATAAGCAATCCATAAAACAAACATAAGCAAGCATTTAAAACTAGTATATATTATTGTGGGAATACAGGTTTTCTCAAAACACTTCTGTCCCCAAGCATTTCAGTTAGCAGATGCTCAACCTGTACTACTTTACCCTGTGGAATGGGGAGCAGGAGTTGGGTGCTTCATTCTGTACCTATTGCATGCTTTTTTCTTTTGAAGTTCTACTGACTTTTGGGAAGTTTGTTTTAAAATAAGTAGAGTCATCCCTCTACTTATATGGGACTTAGGGAAACAGCGAAAGTGGAAAAAAGTCAACATCTTTAATAGGGAAGGGAAATAGGGCACCAATGCTGAGATCCCACCCTTCCTCTATGGTGCAAGTCTATTGTCCAGGTAAAGGGAGAATATACTGGGCAGATCAGAAACATGGGAGAGATGGAAGGAGAAATCAGTCCCAGTGGATCTGGCTCTTCCTCTTTCTGTGTGTTCTCCCCCTCCCCCTTATTTTCCTTTCCCTGGGCATAACGAATATTCACAGAATACAGGAAAAGAAAATTATACGTGGGGAATGTGGAGTAGTGTGAGGCGAGCTCCTTCTTTTGCCTGTGCAACACAAGTGTGTTTCCCTAAGAAAAGGGAGATACTGGGTGAAACACAAACTAAATTCCTGAAGATGTGGCTGTCATATGAATGTTCAAAAGAGAGCCTTAACTTCAGGATGCAGTGATGCTTTAAACTCTCAAAGAGTCAAAGCCGTGCATGAGAAATGTGCATCAACTTCTCTATACTCTTCCAGCTCCCACAGCCCTATGTCCCAGAATATCTGTTTTGAACTGAGTTGTCTGAGTCCACACTCAGATAATGTGGGATTTTCTGCCTTGATATTCTGGAATATAGGGCTGTGTGGAAGGGCCCTAAGTGTTGTTGCAACTCCTATCCTTTAACTATTAATGATGCTAGGTAAGCCTGATGAGAATTGCAGTCCTAGAATATTTGGAAGACTGCAAGTTGCACACTGAGTATGGATGTTACTAATTAATGTTTATTAGCATCCTTACTGGGAAGTAAGCTTTCAGAAAGACTTGAGAAACATGCATGAAAAGGCAGAGTGTGACTTCTTAAGAAGATGTCCCAACTTATCTTTGGCAGGATTGCAAAGTTGTTGTTTTTAAAATTCCTTATCAGGAACCACTGAACTCACAGGAAGCACAAACCTGATTACCCACTACAACCTGGAGCATGCTTACAACAAATTTTGTGGGAAAAAGGTGAAGGAAAAGCTCAGTAACTTTCTGCCAGACCTGCCAGGGATGATTGACTTGCCAGGATCTCATGACAACAGCAGCCTGCGCTCCCTCATTGAGAAGCCTCCCATCTGTGGAAGCTCATTCAACCCCATCACTGGCACAATGCTAACAGGATTTCGGCTCCATGCAGGACCGGTGAGTTAGAGCTTGGCGGTGAAGGAAAGGGTGGAAGGGGAAGCCTTGACTGTCAGTGGGGGAAGGCTCAGTGATGTCCCAAAGGAAGAAAGTCTATCAGACTAGTACACAGTTAGGCATAGCTATGGCTCAGAAACAACTTACATTTTAAAAGGAAATATGAATTCCAATTGGAGCATGTACATGATGTATATTAGGGTCAGTTTTTAAAGTCAAAACTGTGGAGTCATCTTCTCTATTTGACTAGGTGATTGTAAAAGGCCTGAAGACAGGACCATATCTCAAGCTGAGAGTGTCAGTCTGGATGATACTTGATGAAGAACAGGGTCCAACTTTTCCTCTGTCAGATTCCACGTTATGAAGCAGGAAAAAACTGCCAACGTTCTTTGTATTAACTTCAGGCTGGTTTGTTGAAGCCGTTTTTAGCCACAGTCTCATGCACAGCAGTTTTTCAGCTCTGCAATGCTAAATGTGGAAAGTTGGGGGCTAGTATGAAACAAAATTCAACATAGTTCTCAGCCAAATGAAAGTCTCCAAACTTTGTGCTTGTAACCAACAGAAGTATTAAAGAAATAAAACCAAATAAGAATTCTCCCTTCTAGATTTTGATAGGAGATAACAGTGGGACTAGGTTACTGAAGACCCAGATCTCGAGTGGTTGTACCTCTGGGTATCACCTGCACCAGGAAATGTGCTGTTTCTTGTAGTAATGTGCTAACCTGATTCTTTTTGTTTTGCTTCAGCTGCCAGAACAGTGTCGCTTAATGCACATCCAACCACCTAAGAAAAAAAACAAGCACAAACACAAGCAGAGCCGTACCCAGGATCCTGTCCCTCCAGGTAAGACTGTTCTCATACACCCAACATAGTACGAATAGTCTAAGGCAGAGCTTTCCAAACTTTCCATGTTGGTGACACACTTTGTAGACATGTATTTTCTCACAATACACCTAAAGACAACAGGCGACACATTAGTGTCTTGCAACACAGTTTTGAAAGTTCTGGTCTAAGGTACCAAACTTCCTTCCCCACCGATCCACCTGCTACAACTAATGACCTCTTTTTTCTTGGTAGAAACACCCTCAGATTCTGACCACAAGAAGAAAAAGAAGAAAAAAGAGGATGATCCTGAGCGAAAAAGAAAGAAGAAGGAAAAAAAGAAAAAGAAGGTAACCAGGGGATGTCTTATGTCACCAATCTTAATTTCTGTAACCAAGAACCATGGTATAGAAAAAACAAAACTGGTTACAATGTGGGTTTTTGCTCCTGGCTTTAAATATCTTTGTGGCAGTCTTTCGTACGCAAGTAAGACTTTCCCTTATTTGCATTGTGCTTTCGATTTTTCTCAGAATCGGCATAGCCCTGAACACCCAGGAGTGGGCAGTTCTCAAGCCAGCAGCAGCAGCAGCCTCCGATAAGAGTCCTACCAAAAATTCCAGTGAGGAGAATGCTCCAGGAAGGTACTAACAAGGAGGATTGGCTTAGAAGGAAGAGCAATAATGTCGGAGCCACTGTTAACTCACATGCTTCCTTTGTGCTGGGTGATCGTTTTGGGAGTCCACTGGTCTCAGTATAGTAGACACGGACTTTGCCTTGGACTTGATGCAAGCTGGTGTCTTTATATGGGAGCTCTGATAACTATTTGAAGGGGTTTTTTTGTACAAAACTATCCTGACTTCATTTGGGATATTTCTGTTTCACGTTCTCATTAAATCTCTCTTGGAGGAGATGGTTTTGATTTGCAGGAGTCTCGAACTCTGGAACTTCACCCCCACCCCATCCCCCCACACACATGTTGTGGGCTTGCAACCAACTCTGTGGGTGATAGATGATGTGCAGATTCCAGAGTGGTTATTGTGGTGGGGCATTGCCTGAGGCTGGTGGATAGGCCAGCAGTCTGCTCTGTTGAGGCTTTGTGAGGTAAGTGTAGAAGCATGGAATGTTTAAACTGGGAATAGAAAGAATACAAGGTTGAGTTTCACCTCCCAGCTTTTACAGCTAAAAAAAAATTGACCAAAATTCCTTTATCAGTGGAACATGTCGAGAGTTGAGCAGCTAAACTGTGAATATAATCTGTTTTGGGATTCTTTCCCCTAAGGACCTACTTATTGAGTGAAGGCTTCTTAGTGTGTTCCTTAATAAGAGCCAAGTTTCTATCTTTGCCAATAGATGGAAGAGATCCTCAACAGACTTAAGCTGAAAAGATGAAGGCCTCTTCCATTAATTCTGAACAAGGCAAATACAGATCATTTATCTGATCTATCCCTTCTGTAATATTTTTATCTATTACTACCTCATTGTGAACACTATGGCAAAGATTGTTACTTTAATTTTCAGATAGTTGTCTTTTCTGTTTCTGTCTTTCTTCTAAACTACACAGAAAGTAATGACAAGCTTGGCCCTTAGCAGCAACTACTGTGTGGCAGATAATAAAGGAACACAGAACCCAGTGTCACAACTGCCTCTCCTTGTCTCAAGGGAGGGCCATCCCACCTGCTTGATACCAAGACTGGAATGAGGCTGTGTCTAGACTTTGATCACAAAATCTCTTGTGGACAATTTAAACATAGCATGAAACCTCCTTGACCCTGTAGTGGGGTGGAGAGTTCAGCATTCAGGCTGTGACTTGGCAAGTAGCAACTCTACAAATCAACTACATTGCTCATTATGCTTTCCTTCTTCACTGCTAACAGTTGCTTCATGGGAATGTTTTCTAGCATTACGTAGAACAAAAGTTTTAAGGTGTTGTGGACTGAATCCAAATTCTCCCAACAGCCATTACTTACAAATAAGACATTTGGAAATCTGCCCAGAGATCACCCCGTCCGGTTTAGCTTGTCATTTTTCATGAAGCTGAGCTGATGAGAGGCAGAAAAGTAAATGAAGATGTTTTGGCTTACATTATTATTAAATGGTTTTAAAATGCTTTGCTCTGTATTTTTACTCTCTCTTAGGCTGTCTTGTTTTTAGAGGCGGGTGTGCTTCATCCTAAAGGAATGCATTCCATGCAGTGGAGCAATTCCTACACCTACTCGATTTCTCTTTGTTGACTTCCATGTGCTTCGTTGCTAATTGACTAGGACGAGAGGAAGAAATATTTTTTGCAATGAATGCTTATTGTGAAAAATTATTGAGTGCAGAGTATATATATATTTAAACTAGAGCTACTTATCCAAATATGTCCTTTAATAACTAGCTAGATGCAATGATATGGACAGGTTAGGCGTGGGAATAAAAACAATGTAAGAGTCTTGTTTCAGGTGAACAGACTGAAAGGAAAGCATTGAGTTCTCATTCCCTGCACCCAGCATTACATGGATGGTAAAATATTTAAGCAGTGGAAAGTTCATTCAGGTTCGTAAATACTTAAATGTAGAGATTTGGAAATGTAGAGTAAGGCAGTAATGGACTGAATTGCAGCTGGATTGTGTCATCTTTAGATCAGAGCTATGTATATTTCCATTTTAAAGCTTTCTGATCATTGGACTTGCAAGGCATATTCATGTGGGCTGTATTTTGACAAGTCATAAATAATAGCAAGGTGGCTGTTGGATTTAAGTAGAACTGCCAATTCCCCAATCCAAGTGCATTTTGTGGTCCACTGCTGCTACTGTCCTGCCTGAAAAAATGCAAAATACACGTAATGGAAATACAAGTGTATTTATCTCTCAGAAGTTATCTTTTCTTGCTTGAAAAAAAATCTGCAATTTGAGATATGTTCCTTGCATATGATACCCCAAGAAAATCTCTTTATAATGCACTCTCTACCAGAGTGCTGCTGCTCCATTCCTCCTGGAGAAAATGGGAGCAGGAATGTCCTTCCCTTTCTGGGTCACAAGCTACATCCATCAAACGTTTACTATTCAGTGGTTTTCAACCTGTGGATCCCCAGATGTTTTGACCTTCAACTCCCAAAAATCCTAACAGCTGGTAAACTGGCTGGGATTTCTGGGAGTTGTAGGCCAAAAATCCTGGGGACCCACAAATGGAGAACCACTGGTTTACATAGAAAGGTCACTATCAACCAACACTTGGCACAAGGTGTTTGAGCCAAACCATTACTTTCTGTGGCTACTGCAGTTGTCTCAGTTGATGTGTTTCCAAGATTTAAATATGTATCTTACATCTAAAATATGCACAACTATATGTTTCCTGTCGTAGTCACTGCGAATCGTACATTTGGTAATCTCTGCGCCAGCGCAGCATCGCTCGGAACCTTCTGAAAGCAAAAAAACTGACAGTTAGACCCCTGGCCACGCCCCCTTCTCCTAGTATAAATAGCCCGTGGGCGGGGCCAGCCGTCAGTTCTCTTCATCCGCGCTATCAAGCAGCTGGAGAACCTTCTGCTCTTGCGAGCTAGATTTACAACTGATCAGAGAATTATCCTGTTCTTCAACTAGTGCCTACAATATGGCGACTAATTCTTTTAAAAAGTGTACCAGATGCCCTAATATTTTACCGGACAATGATGGGCATGATCTTTGCCTCGCCTGTCTGGGTGAGGCACATTTGTATCAATCCTGTTCGGTCTGCCAATCCTTCACTCCACAGACCACAAAAAACAGGATTTTGAGATTAAAAGCGGCACTTTATGAAAAGGCCCTTATACCATCTACTGATCCGCTTAATATTGACCAACCGCAAACCGGAGCCGTAATGGCACACAAAAAGAAGGTGAAGAAGCCCAAGGAAAAGGGGGCTCAAGATGGCTGCTTGACCGTTACCAAGAGAACGGCCGTTGCTGGAGCGGCGGGCAGGTCGTTAAATGCCCATCATGTCTCGGGTTCTGCTTCGAGACCGAAAGAGAAGGGCAGAGAGCTCCCCCTGGCGGGCGAGAAAAATATTACAACACCAATTCAAGAGAGGCGCGAGGGGGAATCGAGGTCGGCTAAACTCACCCCGCCGATGCCGATTCTTGTGCCCAATCAGCCCCCGCCTTCGGTGTTTTTGAGTTCCTTGGCCTCCTGTGCTGAAACGCCCTCTCTACGACCTCCAACAACAGCCGAGGCGCGGAGAGAGGCGCTTGCGGCAGAAGACCCTTTGTCCGTCCCTTCTTCCACTGCCGCCGAGATCGAGCGCGGCGAAGGGGCGGGGCGTATTGGCGCGGCCCAACCTACTGCTGTGACATCATCAGAGGAGGATGGGCGCGCAAAAGAGACTCCGCCTCCCGGTATCGAGGCTAATGAAGGAGGGAGACAGCTGAGTATAGCTCCTCCCCGAATGGAGGGGGCTCTTCCCCCTCCCAATCCAGCTGGCTTAACGCCTGTTCCGACATCTATGCTTACTGAAGGACTCTGAAGGCGTGCTTCGAGGAGAGGGAGCAAGCGCCCTAGACGCTCCAGATCTCCTTCGAGGCACAGTACAAAATCACATCGATATCGAGCGGCTTCGAAGCGGGGGTGCCATGGGCATTCCCGCTCTGCTTCATCATCATCATCTTCAACATCGTCGTCCTCATCCTCGCGCTCCCCTTCTCCTCCTTTAAGAAAATCTAAGCACCACAAACGTCACAGGCGACACTTCTATCCTTATCCACCTTATTGGGGCCGTCCTCCTATGGGTTGCTACCCTCACCCAGAATGCTGCCAGGGAGGACATGTTAACCATGAGATGCCCATGCACACTATTGATTCTAGGGGGCACAGACAGAGCTCTCTGCAACACCGTGGTGTGGAAAACCATGAAATGGATGTGCACCCTGCTGATGTAAGGGGCCCCTCTACATCTTCAATTACTACTGCCAGGCCTCATTATGTGACGCATTATATTCAAGATGCTCAGGGCCACTCTGCATCTTCCTCTGTGGGCAGCGCTCCTTCTCAACACTCTATGAACATCCCTGCTGCTGGAATGGCCGCTTCAAGACCATCAAGTACAGCTCCCATCAATGATATACATGAAGATGAACCTATATCTGCTCGTGCACAAGGTGATGCAACCCCGCAGGGTCCAGACTCTGTTTCTCAAACTGAGGGAGTTGAACATTTGCCCAGGCATGTGGACAGTTCATCGGAGGAGTCTGATGTGCCTGATTATCTCTGTCTAGGGGACAATGACAATACTTCCCTTGTGCAGTCTGCTGAGATTAATAAATTTAATGTCTTCATAGGGAGGATGATTAAAGCTTTAGATCTACCTGCTCCAAAAGCATCGGAGCATGTAGACGATCCCATGTTTCCCTCTGATGAGCAGGTGTCATTACCTACTACTATTCTGCCAGTATTGCCCTACTTACTGAAGTTAGCACGTGTAGTAGATACATCTCCTATGTTAGTGCCTGCGATACCGAGGAGGTTGGATGTGCTATACAAGATTGACGTCTCTTCTAATAAGTGGGTGGTTATTCCCCCAAGACCAAACACAGTTGTGGCGGAAGTCGCTAAAACAAAGCGGCCAAAGAACACACTTACCAGTCCTCCTGATAAGGAGGGAAAAAAGATAGGATACTTTGGGCAAAAAGGCACATCTATCAGCAGGCCTTCTTACACGCATGGCACACTATGCAACTTATCTAAGTGGCTATCAAAGTTTTTTGTGGGCAAAAATGTTGCCTTATATTGAGATGCTCCCTACAGACAAACAGCATTTCCCGAGAGCGTTACAGGCCGAGGCCGTTGGTTTGTCAAGGGTTCAAAAGGATTTTGCAAAACATCTTGCAGAAATGGCGGGCAGCTTGTATTCCACGGCGACGTCATGCGTGGTTACGCTCTGCTAATTTATCAGAGGAAGGTAGAGCTTTGGCTGAAGACCTTCCCTTCCATGAGGAGGGGCTCTTTAATCCGGAGACGGATGTTAGGATTAAAGAGAAACAGGATGTGAGGCAGGCGGCGAATAAGTTTGGATATACTTGGCAGCCGTTCTCTCAACAGAGACAGTGCTGGCACCCATATAATTCAAATTTTCGGAGAAACCCGGGGAACTCGTTTTTTGGCCAGAATAGAAATCGAAATTACTCCAATAATAGGTATCAATCGGGGAAGAGAAATTCCTACTTCTCTAGATCGAGATCCCAAAACTGGTCCAATAAGGGGAAACCACAGGGAAGTGCTAAGAAGCGTCTTTGACGTTACAAACACCAATCTAGCAGATGTTAGTTTTCAGGATATCAGTGCAGTTGGGGTTAATGTGTCTTCTACTGTTCTTGTTGAGTCTGTTTCACAAGCACCGTTGTTTGGTGATAGACTAGCAGCTTTTTATGATATGTGGGCTCGTATCACCACTGATAAGTGGGTGTTATCCATAGTAGCCCAAGGTTATTTTATTGAGTTTTTAGACCTTCCAAGGGTGGGTCATGTTCGTTATACTCCATTCTCCCAACCGTTATGGGAGGAAGTTCAGATGTTACTAAGTAAAGGTGCTATCTCTCCCCTCGCTGATGATGTTTTGTCACGGTGTTTTTTCTCTCGTTACTTCCTTATTAAGAAATGCAGTGGTGGCTTGCGGCCTATTTTGGATCTGAGGGCTTTAAATAAACATGTTATACCAAAAAAGTTTCGCATGGTTACTCTCAATTCCATTATGCCCCTTCTTTACAGAGGGGCCTGGTTTGCCACCATTGATATCAAGGATGCCTATTTCCATTTATCCATTGCTAGATACCATCAGAGATACCTTGCCTTTATGGTGGGGCGCACCGCTTATTGTTTCAATGTGTTGCCTTTTGGCTTGTCCTCAGCCCCGAGAGTTTTCACGAAATGTATGTCCGTGGTAGCAGCTTACTTGCACACAAAGGGAATTTCAGTTTACCTTTACATAGATGACAGGCTAGTCGTGGCCGAGTCACATGTCCAGCTTAATTCTCAACTTTCTGTCATTTTGCCTTTCATACAGTCGCTAGGACTCGTGATCAACGAGGAAAAGTCGGCACTGATCCCGTCTCAGCGAATCCAATTCATAGGTGCCCTCTTGGATTCCACCACCGAGAGGGCCTATCTGCCAGAGGACCGGTTTGCAAACCTCCAAGGCCTGGTCAGACAAGCTGCCCATGCTCCTTTTATTACAGCCAGGCAGGTCCAGACTCTGTTAGGCCACATGGCTTCTGCAACTGCTGTTATTCCGTATGCGAGGTTGCGCATGCGGCCGCTTCAGTCATGGTTCATATCGGTTTACAACCCTATCATAGACAGCCAGGAGATCCAGCTCTCTATTCCCGAGACCATCCGCAAGTCGCTACGATGCTGGGAGGACAGGTCTTGGGTGTGCAAGGGATACCCTTTTCATGCCCCCAGACCAACATGCACAGTCACTACAGATTCCTCCCTTTCGGGATGGGGTGCTCATACTCAGGGTCTCACTGCTCATGGAGAATGGTCAGAAGGAGAAAGAACAGCTCACATAAATCTTCTCGAGCTTCTGGCAGTAGACAGGGCTTTAAAATTGTTCGAGAGGGTCGTACGAGGTCAAACCATCCAGATTCTCACCGACAACACCACAGTTATGTTCTATCTGAACAAACAGGGAGGCACACATTCTCTTCCCCTTCTGGATCTCACTCTCCAGATATGGGATTGGTGTCTGGAGAGAGGGATTCATCTAATGTGTGCCGGGAGAGGAGAACACACTAGCGGATTCGCTCAGCAGGAATCCCCTGTCCAACCACGAATGGTCCCTCAATCGAGAGGAATCAGACAGGCCTTTTCAGGCATGGGGACTTCCAGAAGTAGATCTATTCACGACCCGGACCAATGCCAAATGCGCCCTCTTTTGCGCACGGAAACGTGCTTCCTTACAGGAAGGATGTCTGGGGGACGCTTTCCTACAGGAATGGACGGGTCGCCCAATGTATGCTTTTCTGCCCTTTCACCTCTTACTGAAGGTGGTGGCAAAGATTCAGAGGGAGAACTCACGCTGCATTCTGGTGACCCCATGGTGGCCAAGGCAGCCTTGGTTCTCCCCTCTTCTCCGCATGTCCCAGAGGGTTTTTTACCGGTTCCTGAACAGAGTAGACCTGTTGCCAACACAAGGGGGCCAGGTTCTATATCCAGAGGTGTCAGCTCACGACAGCTGGGCTCAATAATGACACGAGACTTCCATCGTAATCAAACAAAGAACTTTACTGTCAGATACTAAGGCACAAAAAAGCCGGAATTGCCTGGACGCAGCAGGCAGCCCCTTATATACCCTCCCACTTGTTCAAGCGGTGAATTCCCGCCAGATCCAAAACCCCGCGCAAAGCTTCCCGCCACCACACAACTGCTTTCTTCAAGGCCACCAGCTGCAGGGTTCTTATCAGGGCAAAATGTTAGGAGTTCAGTTTCCGGTGCTCAATTCTGGGCTCTGGAAACTGGATCCTGACACAGAGGTGCAGAAGCTAAGACTGACGGCTTGGAGAGTCCAGCCGAGCCATTAGTTCCTATTTCGGCTCTGTCAAAAGATATCCAGGCTATCATCGAGGCAGCCCACAAGGCCTCAACGAGAAAATCTTACATTTATAAGTGGTCAAGGTTCTGTACATTTGTGAGATCCAAGGGGGTAGATCCTAATACAGCTCCAATTTCAGTGATCCTGGATTTCCTAGTGTCCCTTTCGGATGCTGGGTTGTCTCACTCGTCACTGAAATGTTATCTAGCAGCGGTTTCATGGTTCCGCAGAAAGAAGGGTCTTCCATCTTGTTTCTCACACCCTTTAGTACGGATGTTTTTGAAGGGAATAGCAAACACTAGACCATCAGTGGCCCCAATACCTCCAGCATGGAGCCTCGAATTGGTGCTATCTTTTTTGACTAAGCCACCATTTGAGCCCTTAGCCACAACACACTTGTCGTATCTGTCATGGAAGACGGCGTTCTTGGTTGCTATTACATCGGCTCGACGTGCGAGCGAGCTGTGTGCTCTACGGGTAGACCCCCCTTATTTTAGATTGCATAAGGATAAGGTAGTGCTTCAAACGGATGTAGCCTTTCTGCCCAAGGTCTCTTCTTTTTTCCACATGTCCCAGGAGATAATACTCCCCTCCTTTTTCCAATGTCCGTCCACACCCATGGAACGTACCTTGCATCTCCTGGATGTCCGCAGGGCCTTAGCATACTATGTTGACAGGACGACGTCCCTTAGAAAAACTCCACGCTTGTTTATAAAATACCGTAAGGACATGGAGGGCTTACCTGTGTCATCCCAGAGATTCTCTTCTTGGAATGTGTCAACTATTAAACTATGTTACCACCTGTCTGGCAAGAACTTACCGTTGCAGGTCAAAGGTCACTCTACTAGAGTCATGTCGACCACGACGGCCTTTATGAGAGGAGTGCCTTTGGAGGTCATCTGCCGAGCAGCCATTTGGACTAATCCTCTGTCGTTCGTGTCCCATTACAAGCTGGACATTGCCTCTAAGAGAGATGCGGATTTCGGCAGGGCTGTGCTGTTTTCGGCGGTGGCATGACTCCCACCATCCACGGTCAGTAGCTCGCTAATCTACCAAATGTACGATTCGCAGTGACGACAGGAAATTAGAAGTTGCTTACCTGTAACTATAGTTTCCTGAGTAGTCACCTGCGAATGTGTACATACCCGCCCATCCTCCCCTCAGGTGTCATGCCGCGCCTTCCAGCTGCTTTGCGGTGGAAGAGAACTGACGGCTGGCCCCGCCCACGAGCTATTTATACCAGGGGAAGGGGGCGTGGCCAGGGGTCTAACTGTCAGTTTTTTTGCTTTCAGAAGGTTCCGAGCGATGCTGCGCTGGCGCAGAGATTACCAAATGTACGCATTCGCAGGTGACTACTCAGGAAACTATAGTTACAGGTAAGCAACTTCTAATTATCTGTGGCTAGGATCTAAATCACTATAAGCTGCCCTTGATAATAGTGGCTTTTTTTCTCCCACACTATTTTTTCTTGATTGCTTTCTATATGGCTGCAGTGTAAAGGCTCTAAGCTAAATACAGATGAAATGGCTTTATGTAGCTTGCTCTATGCAGGTATTGGGAGGCCTAATTCTAAGCCTCTGCTTCATTCTTCTTTCCTTGCACTTGCAGCTAAGAGTCTGAAACAATCTATATTTAAACTACCACAGTAATTAAATTTACTAGATTGTGAAAGCACAACCCAATGTAATTTCAGTGTGGCAGTATTCTTGAAAAATAGTAATTGCAGTTTGTTTTATTATTGCCTTTGTTGAATATTTGGGCTTATTGAATTTCAAAGACACTACTAGTTCTGTATTGTTTTAATTCTCTCTCCCCATTCTCATCACAAAGAATAAACTAATAAATGAGGGCAAATTCATACATGTGGCTTGTATAACAATATTTTATTTTCTACTCAAATATTGTATTACACTGATTTTGTGGCACACTTCCCCCCCCCCCCGCCCCCCAATTTTAAGCGCTCCAAAAGTGACATGGGCAAACAATCAATAGCACCTTAAATTTTCTGGTTTTGCTTTATTATATAATGTGTTTAAAAAACTTCTGAGAGAGAAGGAGGAAGGGACACACAGTGTCTATGCCAGCCCTACCATTTTGTCCTTGGCCTCTACCAGGCAGTTTACTGATCTGGCTGAGCACCACTTCCTGCTTCCCCTGCCTCCCCAACTTAGGAAAAAAAATGGTAATGCAGACAAGATGACTTCCAGGTTGTAATACAAAATTCTAAACAAAATTTTGCCTGCAGACAAAATTCTAAACAAAGATTCAAATAAAATCCCCCCCCCCATCCTTCAAAAATGGGATGCACCTTACGCTCAATGGCACGTTATTCAGTGAAATATGGTACATTTGCCATCCTAACATTGCTTTGGTGGAGTGAATAGAGATAAAAATTTAAAATTTTATAGACTGAAAATAAAGTAGTATAGCATATAAATCCTTACTACTACAATGAAGGAAATGGTTATTGTTTTTCTCACACAACTTGTTACTCTGTTACTTTCTACACGGAGAGGTAGACTGATAAAGAGAAAGGCATACAAGCTGAAAAAAATCAAACATAGATTTTAAAATAACTTTTGAAATTAAAGAAAATTTGCTTTAAACGATACACCGTATCTTAATAATCACATTACTTTTTAATAGTTGCACTATTGCTCTCAAAAATAGAATATAGGTAACCATATTACATATGACTATTCCAAAACTCTAGAACTTTATTCTACACATACTCTCCTCCTTCTGTATCCCAAACCTCTCCTGCACTGCTTCTAGCAAAGGAAAATTGTTCCTGTGTGCTTTCAAGTTGTTTTTGACTTATGATGACCCTAAGGTACTGTTTAGAGGGATTGGCCTTTTTCTGAGGCTGAGAGTTTGTGACTTGCCCAAAGCCACCCAGTAGGTCTCCACACCTGAGTGGGAATTTGAGTCCAGGTCTTCAAAGTCCAACACTGAAATAACCCCAACATGCTGGCCCTTAGAGGAAAGAGAGGGCTTTACGTTTAGCACAGTGACAGCTCTACACATTATCAAGAAAGAATATGAGGTGGGCAGTGCAGAGTGAAGTTGGGGAAGACAGAAGCTAATGGTATTCATTGGCTCGTATTACATTCCCTGGGACACAGGAAATGGGATGCAGTATTGGGCATAGTTGACAGAAGGCAGCTAATATTAAACAATGCCAGGATGCAGACATCCACCCCTGTATTAAAATGTATAGGGGTGAACACAGTAAATACTTTGAAGGAAGCAGATTCTGTCTGATATTGAGGCAAAGTAGTCTTTGTACTTCAAAGGAAGTCAACCACAGAATACCTTTTAAGAAGGCAATGGCAAGCCACCTCCGAGCAATCCTTGCGTAAGAAAACAGTGATACTAAACCTGTGCTGTACAACTTGAAGAGTTTTGCAGTTAAATAATGTAGCAGACAGATTAACATCTAACACCATTATTATGTTGGAAGCTTTCCGACACTACCGGCCTCTTTGTAAAAGATGTGAAACATTACCTTAGTTGACACACACATATTGTAAATAATTCAAGTGCAGAGAGTTTTAAGTTCTGTGGATGACATACACACACCACCTGAAGTTACACATATACATGTTATTTCCTGGATATTGCAGAATGAGATATTCACAACCTCCTTGTGCAATACACCCCTTCTCCCCAATAGCTTTCAAGTTCAGCAGCATATTGACTTGTACATTTACTGACCAATGAAAGAAAAGGCGGTATCCAGCCCAGCTGCACTTTTGCAACCAGGGGAAGACAGCTGATCTTATCTTCCCAGCTGTGGAGCAAGTTGCTGAAGATCAATGAGAACAAAGTCCATTTTCTCCCTACTGCATACTGCATCTGGATGCTACTTGATTGCCTTCTCCCCCACACCACAGTAAACAGCAACAAGCATTAACTGAATCTGCTTTTTGGTGATGCAGAAAAGTGCAAGTGAAGCATTACACACAATCTATCCACTATAGGATTGTGTTGTTCAAAAATGGCAGGAAGTTTAGCAAGTTCCATATTACTATGCAGAATGCAAATGAGATTCAGACAAAAGAAAAAAAAACCTGAAAGGAGCTATGGCCACTCCCAAATTATAATAAACTGCCTAGACACGATGGTGCACTGTATGAGACACCGAAATAGGGACAACTACTTTTGGTCATAAGATAACCACTCCCCAACTTCATTAAGTTGAGAAATATTAAACCAGAAATATTAAATACCAGACCACCAGCAGCAGCCCAAAACCTCCCTTTGAATGGCATATGAAAGTCTCATAAGCTAATAGGATATCTTTTAATAAACATAAAATTGTCATGCTTAATTAGCAAGGAAAAGTGGATCACACCTAGTTTATCTGTTCTCCTGATGCGATCTCATAAGTCTGGGAACCTTTTTGGTGGAAGGGTGGGGTATAGAAATATAAAAATAGTAGTCATTTGACACACCCTTGTCTTGCACTACTGGGTCTGCTGGCTATGGATCCATGAACCTGTATAGGTTATTGTGCGGCATTTTCCGGAAAGCATTCACCATTTCATTTCAGGTGCATTTTTGCTACACTTTCCTCTTTTGCATCTTCATAGCATGAAGGAGCCAAGCTGGCAACTTTAGTCTGTTTTGGGACACCCATAAACGCCATTGGCATGGTTCATGAATAACAGGAGCAGTATGTAACTCAATGTTTGGAGAGCAAATGGCAAGGTCAGACCATCTGTCTTCTCCTTGTTGTCAGCCAGTTTCTCTGCAATCCCCAGCCTTTTATCCTCCCAGAGATCAGTCTGGATTCTGATTTCCTAGAAATGTGAGAGCTCTACTGAATTGGACACAGGGTTCATTCTAGTTCCAGATCCATCATGTGCTTTCAAGAAACCCATCAAAAGAGCATCAGTTTCCTTTCTGCTGTAACTCTCATGTATGGCATGCCACATTCGAAAATGGAGGTTGCACAGCAACATCATGTACATTAAGAGTCATGCTGAATCAGATCAAATGCTTGTCTGATATAATTTTTTTCTCATAGCCCAGCAACCTTGGGTAGTGTGCATCACTGCTGGGAGGAATTTTATTAATTTTATCACACAGTATATGGTATTTTTTGCTAGAATGCACATCCTATTAATTACATTCGAAATTCTATTGAATCAATGTAACTGACCTATTTGTTAATTCACTTCAATGGTTGTTTCAATTGATATACTCCTGTATGGTCAGAAGGGGAATAAAGCTTCTACCTACTTTTTCCATATCATGTTTTATTTGGATTGTTTTCTTCTGTAGCTCTTCAAGTTCCACAATATTTATTTGAAATGGGGCAACTGGTAAAAAGTGCCAAATAAACACCACTGATTAGTATAAAATCAAACATTTTATTTTCAATGTCTTTCTAATCAGCTGTACTTAAAATGTGCTTCTCATCACACAGTGAGTTGATCTTTTGACTTAACTATCCATGTGAAACTGACAATCTTATCTTCTGGATTGTCAATACAAGCACAAATCCCATCAGCACATATACGAAGTTGCTCAGCACCTTTTTCCATTTGCCATTTACCCAGATGGAGAAAATATGAGGCCCCATTTTTCTGGTCTCAGAAGCAACACAACTAAAAATAGAAGGCTTCTGTTTCAGCCATTTACACATTATGGAAGTACTGGACACAGGTTAGTATCACATATTGTCTAAAGATGACTGAAGAAGCTGGTGACAACTTTAAAAGAATACCTGACTCCAATTACAGAATAGTATAGGAGCACCAACTCTCCTATATTCAAACTTCACCTTCATGACCATAGACATTCTCATAAAAGAGGAAGCAGATTACAAAACAGTCTCTAACATTCCCCCCAAGGGGACCATACATACAAGTCATGAAAGAATCTGGATTCACTCACAGACTCATGTGGGTATGAAAAACAACCATCACATAACAGACAATCTGATGCACCTTTTTAAATATAGCACTGGCATTAAATGAATCCATCTATACGAAACCATGGTTAAAAGTCAGAAACACTCAAGCTTCCCGCATGAAGCACTGTAATAGGAATTTATTTAACAAAACCTTCATGTATTGTTTGTCGTAGCATTTTATCCATCATGGCTAAATTAAGAAAGTAGGTATTTAAAGGCTGTCTAATTTTAGAAATTTGAGGGACTTCTTACAACTAGAAAATCTGTTTTGGATTATTTTGGCCTATAGCTTCCAGTAGTGCTAGCTAGCATAACCTATTTTTATGGAATTATGGCAGTTTTTTGCATTCAAGTAGTTTCTGCCTTACAATGACTATCACAGGGTTTTCTTGGCCAGATTTGTTAGAGGGGGTTTGCCTTCCTCTGAAGCTGAAAGAGTGTGATTTGCCAAAGGATTTCCTTGGCTGAGTGGGGGTTCAGATTCTGGTTTTCCAGAACTGTATTCCAACGTGCAAACCACTAAACCACACTAGCTCCTATGGAAGGTGTGGTAACAAAAATCTCAAAGGCTACAAGTTGCCAGTTTCCACTACAGGGTATACAGTAGGGTCTTGCTTATCCAACATAAACAGGCCGGCAGAATGTTGGATAAGCGAAAATGTTTGATAATAAGAAGGGATTAAGGAAAAGTCTATTAAACGTCAAATTGTGTTATGATTTTACAAATTAAGCACAAAAACATCATGTTTTACAACAAATCGACAGAAAAGGCAGTTCAATACATGGTAACGTTATGTAGTAATGACTGCATCTACACATTTAGCACCAAAACATTGCAATGTATTGAAACAGCTGTGGATCCGGGCAGGAGGCAGACTGCATTGGTTAATGCAGAACGTTGGATGAGCAAAGGTTGGATAAGGGAGAGACTACTGTAGTTGCCATGCATATTACCGTCTTCTTCAGAAAGTATGGGTGGCCACTTCAATTTCAAGTGGATCCATGCTATGCAAACATGTTTTTATCGTTTACTTATGTTTTTCCTCAAACTTCTATCAAATAAGCAAAACATCTTTTTTTTGAGTGGCAGGAGCAGCTGTTCATGTTATCTTTTAAAAATATACAATATTTTGATCACTTTTTTTGATCAACATTGGCATGTTATTTTTTTCTGGGCATCAACTTAACTATGCAAGGCCAAGTTTACAGCAATCTTCAGGCAGCTCATTGTGAGATTCAAATAATTAGTAGTGATTGCTATCGATAGTTTGTAGCACTTTTCCTCATCCCAGTGTTTCATAGTCTGTTTTTTTTTTTACAAAGCTCATTATACCTCACATAAAAAGGGAAATTTGAGGTTAAGATTGAGGTCCCAAGTGAAACTATGGCAGATTGCTGACCTAGCACTTAACCCCATTCTTACCTCTGGACACCTTGGCTTTCAAGAAAACAGGTTGTTGCAAGACTTGATTTGGGGCGGGGGGGGAGGGGGGCAGGGTGGACTCAAAACTGTGGGTTCAAGCAGGTCATGAAACATCTGTTTCCTTCTGCAATTGAATTAGATTGAAAGTATGATTTTAATATAGTTAATACTAATACTAAATTGATGCTATTACTGACGAAAGGGTCAAGGGTTTTATAAGGCCCAAGACCTCCACATTCACAATGCTCCTGCTTGTACGTATCTTGTAACACCTGTTTGTCACCTGGCAGAGCCAAGCAAGTCACTGCTAAGCATGGTGGTAGAGACTGAGCTCTAGATAAGCGCTCTTATGAAAGCTGGCTGTAATCCTACTGCAAGCAATCTGCAAGCAAAGGGAGTTCCCTGTGCTGACTAACCGGATTGCAAAAAGGCTTAAGTCCAGAGCCTATGGATAGGAATCATCAGGTTGCTTTATAATGAACACTAAGTCAAGTGATCTTGGAAACTCTATGAATAGCTAGCTTTTCATTATCCCTCTGGGCAGTTAAATCAGGAAATCCCAACTGGATGGCCCCCCATGAGGGTCTTCCTCCAGGGGCAAACCAAGAATGGGCAACCTGGAAGTCCCTGAATAGACTCAGAAGCGGAATAGGCAGATCAAAAGACAACTTGGCAAAATGGCACTACCTAAAAGAATCCCATACCTTGTGTGACTGTGGAGCGGAACAGACAACTCTACATCTGTATGCTTGTCCATTGTGCCCTGCCACATGTACAGAGGAGGAATTGTTGGAGGCTACAGACAATGCCGTTGCTGTTGCCTGTTTTTGGTCAAAAGATATTTAGCCGCCTCCACACCTTCTATTTTATCAGTTCCATACTAATTTATGCAATGCTTTTGATACGAAATAAATAATAATCTTCTGACTGTTGCAGACAGCCTTGTGATTTTTCTGAACTGTGTGCCTCACCATGGCATACTTCCATAACACCATGCGGTAAATTCATCTAGAATGTATGAGACAAGCCTATGTAATTTATAAAACTGTTTCAATTGTGCCTTTAAAACGATTTTCATGGTTTCCTCTATAAGTAAGGCTTGGAATTACAGCAGATGCACTTGTGGCTCACCTGTTAAGAGAAATTAGCAGTGACAATAAGGATCAAGAGAATAAACGAAGTTCAAGACAGGAACAGTAGTGTCTCAAGTGAACCCATTTCATAGTGTGTATACATGTCTTCAAGCTGCCTGCCAACTTACTGCATATTGTAACAATGAAGGACAACTACCAGAACTGCACCCTCAGCTAATACAACAAAAATACACAAGCATGGGGGAGTGGCTCATTATATTTTTTATTCCTCATTTTAAAATGGCTAGTCATAATAAAAATAAAAGTGTGGCTCAGTGGAGACCACAGTTAACATATTGCCATACAGAAAGAATCAGTAGAGACTTGAATTCCTGGGTTGCTCTGATTTTTTTCATGGGTGTTTATGGGTGGAGAGAAATTTTTGGCATATGGAAAAATATTGCTTTTTGGTTTGTTTGCATTTTTCCTCTTCTTTCTCTTGCCCAGTTTGGGAATAAAGAACCATGACATCACAAGAAATCAAATGGAGAAATTCATAAAAGTCCTGTAAAAAAGAGGCAAGGGGAACCACCTGGGGAGGGCTTTCTAAATATATGTAATATTTCCTCCTGAGGGACCCAGCTCCAACACCACTGCCACCCTACACTCTCCACTTAGCACCCCAGACATCCCTGTAGTTGGGCACTTACTGCTACCAGTGCTGCACATGCTACTCTGCTTGGTTTTCAAGAGATACAGTCCTGTTGCTGGGAATCCTTTTCTTAAGACAGCATCAAAAAGTCAGCCTGGAAGGTACAAACCTGGGAAACCAACTATTCCCTTGGTTCTCCTAAACCCTCGATGCCCTTTGGGAAAGAAGGGTGTATTCATGGGGAAAGATTTCCAGTAAAATTCAATCCAGGGGGCAGGGATGAGGAAGGCAGTGCCTGTGAATGCTCCTTCCTGGAATGCACAATTCAGAGCTGGGAATAAGTAGCCAAACTCATGGCTCGCTATGGCACGATGCGGCCAGGTCAAATGCCAGCATGGCTTTTCCTCAGCTCTACCTGTCTTGGAGTAGTGGTCTCACAGGGGTTCCATATTATTTGAGGGCCATTTCATCCATTCAAAGTAAATCAAGTGGCTGACCCAATATATCCCCCCAAGACTCCCCTGAACGTATACAATTTATACACAGTTCCCTCAAGCCGAGCAAATAGAGTGTGCCTTGGGTCTGTCTCCCTCAATGTGGGTAGATATATAATTTCTTTTTTATATTTATATTTATATATTTATAGATATTTATATATACACACACCCAGCAACTCAGAAGAGGAAAAAATAGAATTCGTAACAATAATAAAAAATGTTTTTAAATGATCCACTCCTACTGCACTAGGTGAGCGATTGCACGAGGTCCACAATTGACTGTCTTGTTAGTAGCAGAGCAGGCTGCATCCAGCACCTGCCATGGAAGAGTGCTGGCAGCAAGCCTCTCCCCCTTCTTTCTCGGCAGTGTGTGCTACAAATTGCAGTCTCTTGGTTGGTTGAGAGGAAGAGTAGAGGTGGTGGAGGTGAGCCAGGATGGGATCCTGCTGTAGTGTTTAGGGACTCTCCCAATCCCAGTTTAGTTTAAAAAGGTATTTGTCCGCTCTGCTCTCCCCCCCCCCCCCCCCCCCCCCCCCCGCCTCCCACAAAAAACTGGATTCATAAAAAATGTCCATGCATTGAAGGGGCAACCATTTGCTGAGCAAATTCTTGCCTCCTGCTCATCAGCCAAGGAGGAATTGACAGTGGGGAGATCAGTTCCTCATACTGAGATCTCATATGTGGTCCCACCCACTCCAGAGACCTTCTTGACTCCTCCACGAGTGGGACTGCTGAGAGGTGGCTGGCCAGGGGAGGGCGAGGTTGACCCCAGGCTCTTGGGCTGCCCATTGGACTTGCTGTAGGAGGGTCTCATCTGCACCTCGTCTCTGGGAAAAAGGAAGGATACAAGGGCGTCAGGAAGTGACCACTCATTCAATGGCAATGGAAGTGAAGGAAGTCTCACACTCTGATAGGGTTATGGAAAGGGAAGCTGCCTTGGCTTGTGGAAAGACAGGGGACCTTCACAGCTCACAAAGAACTGGAAGGACCCCACAAACATTTTACAATAGGAACAGGTTGTAGCCAAACACACACCTCTCTAAGGAAGGATGGGAACCTAAATGGCCAGAACTATTAAGAAAGAAAGACACAGTTGCCCAAAACACCACATTCTGCATGGGATAAAAGGAAGGAACTGCATGGCATTAAAAGAAAAATCCCCGGGAAAGGAATAGGAGAGATCATGCTCCCAGCATTTATTTATTTATTTACTTTGCTTATATACCGCTGTATCTCAAGCCCGAAGGCGACTCTAATTTTACTATCTGCCCCCTTCTTGATGGCAGATTGAGGATCTCTCACGTGCACTGAAACAGGGCATGGAAAAGGAACACACTGAGCAAAAGGGGAAGAAAGAGCAATCTCATATACAGTGTTTTCACCTATGAGGTAAAAACCAGGCAGTCATTTCACAGAAGATCCAGAGATCATGTATGGAAGTCAATGGCCATCTCACACATACAGGGAAAGTGAGGATGCTTAAATCCACATACCTCACTAAAAGGAAGTGGTTCTATGGGATTAACAATATGAGGAAATGGTTCACACACTGAAGGACAGGAAGGAAGAGGAAAGGGAAGACAGGGCAGACGAGAGCAGGCACTATTCGCAGAACACCCCCCAGCCATTCCTTCTAGATGCTGCCACAGGAATCAAAACTACCTTAGGGTCCTCAGTCAGAACAGTGATGGGGCAGGACTGAATGTGGTTCATCCCTTGGACAAGTCAAGGAACACTTAAAGCACAAGGCAGGTGTCACTTGTACTTACTTTGGTGCCAATAAAGGCTGCAAGGCCACCTCCTCAGTCTCTGGGACGATGGCCTGGGATGACTGTTTTTGGCTGTAACACACAGATTTGCCCAAGTGCGGGGCTGCAGGCTGGTCTGGTGAGCCCAAGGAGCGTACTCTGAGCATATGTGATGGTTCTGGTTTGCCAAAACGAGGTGCCACTGGGCGAGTGAGGGGGTTCTTGCCCAGTGGGGAGCGCTTTGAATCGTCCGAGGAGGAGCTGGTACGTGGGGCATTGCTGGAGCCTGGTGTAGACTGGATGCCTGAGTCCCCCAGACCTGTATCCTCCTCTTTGGCCAGAGGTGGAGGTGTGGGAGACTGTTGCAGTAGCTTCTCCCGCTCCTGCATGGAGGCCACAATGTGGCGTGAAAGATTGTCATAGCGAACAGGTGAAGAATCGCGAGGGGGCTGGTGCTTGGGTGAGCCAGAGCTTGGGAAACGACTGTGCAGGTCAGCTTCTCGTTGTTGAGCAATTCGGGCAGATAAGAAAGGAGACATGTAACCCATCGGGGGTTCTGGCTCGGGGCCTGCCTGCACTGACTCAAAGTCAGGGCTATCTGATGGTGTGAGAAGGCTGTCGTATGATAAGCTTCCATTGCGTGTCTGGTTCACCAAGCTCTTGTAAGATGTGGATGTGGTACCTTCAGAGCGAATTGACTGAAGGTGGCCCAATTCAAAGCCTGTGCCTTGAGCAGACTTGAGGCTAGAGGAGCGCGAGCCACTGGAAAGTGGATCAAAATGGAAACTCTTCCCAAAAGTGGGAGAACGAAAACTCTCTGGCTCCAGACTTGGTTCAGAGCGGTAGCTGGGGTTTCGACTGCTCTCAGCAATGGAGGTTGGCTCTTTCAGGCTGTCTCCCCGGCTTAGCTGTAGTGGGGGAAAGATAGGTAAAACAGTCATTTGCAAGCCTTCTCTGCTGTACATATTGTAATAATTCAGATAGACTGAGTGCAGATTTTGCTTCCTCAAACCATCCATCGATAAGGACCTATGCTTAATACACCCCCCATTTCTTAATGAAGAAACCTTAATTCTGCAAAAACATATAATACAATTTTTTAAGTTAAACAATGCAGTAATGCCCTTACTGAGAGTCAAGGTGGTATAACAACTGAAGTATTAAACCTGGAGACATAACTTCAAATTCTCTCTCAGCCATGAAGTTCCTGGCTGACACTGGCCCAGTCTTTCAGCTCAACCTACTTTATGGAGATATTTTCAAGTTAAGTAACAGAATCATCCCATATCTGCCTTCTCTGAGAAAGAACAGGACACTGATGCATGTAACATGAAGTAATGAAGAGTTGTTTTTTTCAATAATTTTTGTTTCTTAATTTCCTACATAGCTACTGAAAAGACATTTCTCCTTATTAGATGGGTATGTAATAGCGAACCCAGGTGGTTGAGTACTTGGTTGTTTGGAAGTAAAACTGGGGCACCAGAAAATAGGTTAGGGTTTGCAATATACTAAAGAGAACTCCTTAGACACACAGACAGATGCAGATTTGTGATTTAAAAGGAACATGAGTTTTATTTTTAAAAAGGGACTAGCTATAAAAGAGAGGTATATATCAACCAGAATTTGGGCACATTGGCTGATTCTATCAGTTTAGTCAATGGCTAAAAGCAACTGAGAATGGAATATTAGGAAGTTAGACAAAAACTGTTTCCCTATTTTGGCTTATTCCCTCTGCATCTAAACAGAATTAAAATCTTAATTTGTCTAGGCCTATTAGAACTTCAAGGCACTCCTAGAGATAAATGGATACACTACAATTTTTTGTTGTACGTTTGTTTCACTACGTTTGTTTTATTCATTTATTTCTTGCCTTTCTCAGAATACTGGGACTCAAGGCAGTAAAAAGCAACACAGATTTAAAATTTAAAATTATACAAAAGTGTCAGTAAATGTATAAATGTAAGAGTTATTTCAAAACAGTTCAACAATTAGTGTAGTTGAAACACTGAACATTAAATTCATTAAAATATTATATACAAACCTTAAAAAGAGTACCACACAGCATTAAAACCCACTCCAGTCAGTTTCTAAAAGCATGATAGCATAAAATATGTTTTAACATGCTGATGGAAGGAAAGAAACAGCATGGCCTCCCTAGGAAGGAACTTCCAAAGTTTGGGAGCAGCCACCAAGAAGACCCACTCCTTGTTCCCACCAAATGAGCCCGAGAAAGTGGTGGGACTTTCTCGGGCTCATTTGGTGGGGCTGAGTGAAAGGTCTCTCCAGATGATCTAAAGCGGGGTCCCCAAACTACGGCCCGGGGGCCGAATCCGGCCCGCCGGGGGCCTTTATCCGGCCCCTGGCAGGGGCGGCTGAACCAATAGCAGCCTGTTAATTCCCAAATGTCAGGGTCTCTTTTCCCTATTCAGTTTTGAATGTGTTTTGATAGCTTTCCATTGAATGTTTAAAGCAGGCATGGGCCAGCTTGGGCCCTCCTTGTGTTTTGGACTTCAGCTCCCACTACTGGCTGTTAGGAATTGTGGGAGTTGAAGTTCAAAACACAAGGAGGGCCCAAGCTGGCCCATGCCTGCTTTAAAGAATAGTAGTGATGTTTAATTCTATTGTAATGTTTCATATATTTGTAGATTTAAAATTGTATTTAAATGTAAGCTGTTTTGGCCCCTTCCACACAGCTGTATAAAATCCACACTTAACTGGCTTACATGGACTCTGATAATGCAGTTCAAAGCAGATATTGTGGATTATTTATTTATTATTACTGCGCTTGTATACCGCCGTTTCTCAGCCAAAATTGGCGACTCAACGCGGTTTACAACTCTACAAACAATCAACAATATTCAGTTTAAAAAGCATAAAAACAACATACAATACATAGTATTGGGCCACCAATACAATCCAATGCATCTCTTAACTAGAATCGTAATCCAATTTCATCGTCCATGATTACCAGTCCTTAATCATCAATTTCATTGCACCGGATTAACCGAATGCTTGTTTGAACATCCATGTCTTCAATCTTTTTCGAAACACCATCAGCGAGGGGGCTGATCTTACCTCTATGGGGAGGGCGTTCCAAAGCCGAGGGGCCACCACAGAAAAGGCCCTGTCTCTCGTCCCCGCCAGCCGCACCTGTGAAGCAGGCGGGATGGAGAGCAGGGCCTCCCCAGAAGATCTTAGGGTCCTGGTGGGCTGATAGGCCGAGATACGTTCGGATAGGTAGGTTGGGCCAGAACCGTTTAGGGCTTTAAAGGCCAACCCCAGCACTTTGAATTGAGCCCGGTAGCAGATCGGCAGCCAGTGGAGCTGGTGCAGCAGAGGAGTGGTATGCTCCCTGCGCTCCGCTCCTGTTAGTATCATGGCTGCCGAACGTTGGACTAGTTGGAGCTTCCGAGCCGTCTTCAAAGGCAACCCCACGTAGAGAGCGTTGCAGTAGTCAAGACGGGATGTAACCAGAGCGTGGACTACCGTGGCCAAGTCAGACTTCCCAAGGTACGGTCGCAGTTGGCGCACAAGTTTTAACTGTGCGAATGCTCCCCTGGTCACCGCCGAAACCTGGGGCTCCAGGCTCAGCGATGAGTCCAGGATCACACCCAAACTGCGAACCTGCGTCTTCAGGGGGAGTGCGACCCCGTCTAACACAGGCTGTAACCCTATACCCTGTTCGGCCTTGCGACTAACCAGGAGTACCTCTGTCTTGTCTGGATTCAATTTCAATTTGTTCGCCCCCATCCAGACCGTCACAGCGGCCAAGCACCGGTTCAGGACCTCGACAGCCTCCTTAGTAGCAGGTGGAAAGGAGTGACAGAGTTGGACATCATCTGCGTACAGGTGACATCGCACTCCAAAACTCCGGATGATCTCACCCAGCGGCTTCATGTAGATGTTAAACAACATGGGAGACAGTATTGAACCCTGAGGAACTCCACAAGACAACGGTTGTGGGGTTGAACAGGAGTCTCCCAGTAACACCTTCTGAGACCGACCCTCGAGGAATGAGCGGAGCCACTGCAGAACAGTACCTCCAAGACCCATCCCCGCGAGGCGTCCCAGAAGGATACCGTGGTCGACGGTATCGAAGGCCGCTGAGAGGTCCAGCAGCACCAACAGGGACACACTCCCCCTGTCGAGCTCCCGGCGCAGATCATCCACTAAGGCGACCAAGGCTGTCTCGGTACCATGTCCCGGCCTAAAGCCAGACTGTGCCGGGTCTAGATAATCCGTGTCTACCAAGAATACCTGGAGTTGTGAGGCCACCACACGTTCCATGACTTTGCCCAAAAAGGGGAGATTGGAAACAGGCCGATAGTTGACGAATTGAGTGGGGTCCAGTGATGGTTTTTTCAACAGCGGTTTTATCACAGCTTGCTTTAAGCTGGCTGGAATTTTGCCTTCCCGAAGGGAGGCATTAACCACCACCTTCACCCACTCGGCCAATCCCCCTCTGGCCTCCTTCAGAAGCCAGGATGGGCAGGGGTCTAGGATGCATGTGGTAGCTCTCATTCCTCCAAGCACCTTGTCCACATCCTCGGATTGAACCAATTGAAATGAATCAATCAAAACCGGACAAGCAGATGCTCGTGTTACATCCTCAGAGACTGCCGTTAATATGGTATCCAGTCCAGAGCGGATCAAAGCGACTTTGTCTGCAAAGAACTGAGCAAAAGCTTCACAGCGAGCTGCCGAGTCATCAGGGCACCCATCCTGAATGGTGTTTTAAAAGGCCTCTGACAACTCGGAACAGTTCAGCCGGACGGTTCTTTGCAGACGCAATAGTGGCCGCAAAGAAAGCCTTCTTTGCGGCTTTTATTGCCGCGGCATATGCCCTTAAAAAGGACAGAAACCGTGTTCGATTTGGCTCGCTCGGATCCAAACGCCACACGCTCTCTAGTTCCCTCTTCTTTCGCTTCAACGCTGCCAGCTCCTCGGTAACCAAGGAGCTGGTTTAGCTCGGCTACTTGAGAGGGGACGTTCTGGAGCGATCGTGTCTATTGCCCTAGTCATCTCCCCATTCCAGAGAGCGACCAGGGCATCGAAAGGATCACCAACCGAGGCGGCGGGAAATTCCCCAAGAGCCGTCAGGAATCCATCCGGATCCATAAGCCTCCTGGGGCGGACCAACTTAATGGGTCCTCCACCTCTGCGGAGGTTAGGGGGTGCAGTGAGTCTAAAGCTGACCAGGTGGTGGTCGGTCCATGGCAACGGAGAGATGGATAACTCCTCAACACCGCCACCTTCCTCCCATCCCTGGCAGAAAACCAAGTCCAATGTGTGTCCAGCACTGTGGGTGGGGCCAGATACCTGTTGGGACAGCCCCATGGTTGCCATGGTAGACATGAAGTCCTGAGCCGCTCCCGATAGGGTGGCCTCGGCATGGACATTGAAGTCCCCCAGCACAAGCAGCCGTTGGGACTCCAATGCCAGGTCTGAGATCACCCCCGCTAGCTCAGGCAGGGAGACTGTAGTGCAGCAAGGTGGACGGTACACTAACAGAATCCCTAATCTGTCCCGGTCACCCACCCTCAGGTGGACGCATTCAAAATTTGTTGACTGCGGGATGGGGGCCCTGGTCAGACGAATGGAGTCTCTATAGACCACTGCAACTCCGCCTCCCCGCCCTCCGGATCTCGGTTGGTGCTGCACAGAGAAGCCTGGTGGGCAAAGCTGGGTCAAATTTACACCTCCCGCTTCGTCCAACCAGGTCTCTGTGATGCACGCCAGATCTGCCCGTTCATCCAGGATTAAATCCTGGATGAAAGTTGTTTTACCATTGACAGATCTGGCGTTCAACAGCACCACTTTCAATTCGGAGGGACCGCCATCCTGGTTACACCAGCTTACCGTATCAGGAGACCGATTTGGAATTACTAATGTTGTTCCACGTTCCCTAGACCGAATTAAAGGTCTCCCTTTCCCGTATCTCCCCCTCCCCACCACGACTTCTATGGGGGCTCCCCGGTTAACGGAACCCTCTCCCTCCTCCATGACGCATTCAGTAGCCATAGTCTCAATCCATAGTTCATCATTGATTGTTTGGTATATTACAGCTTCGGATTGCCATAGTCTTGCCTTACATTCATTTCCCACTCCTGTTATGTTATACTCATGTCTTCCTGATCTACTCTGTTCCCTCTCCCTACCATAAGCAATTAGCAGCAAGATTAACAAATGCCAGGGAATGGGTAGCAACATGAATGGCGGCTGTTGAACACTAACAGGGGAGTTTCACTGGGGTTCTTAGAGTACAGATAGATGGTTGTAACGGCATTCACGATGGTACAAATAATTAAAGTGCAATAGCTTGTTAACTGGCTCTAAAGTGCTAAAATGAAGTGCGTCATGGAGGACTTAAATTCAACACTAGATGGTTAAATCTATTAAAGTGCTGAGGCTTAATAAGGTCAATAGACCACAGAGGTAGTAAATTAAAGTGCTGGTAGTAGATTAAAGTGCTGGTAGAGTAAAGTGCTAGAGTCACGCCAGATAACTATACACAGTACTTCTTAATAGTGCAGCAGTTATTTCTTAAAGCTCAATTCAGTCATTAAATATAGTTGTTGTTATACTGCGGTTGAAGACCCCCCTCCTCTCGGAGTTTAAATTGCTGTCCCAAAAGATGTATCAATGGGGTACTCCGCACAACACAATAAGAATAGTCAGCACAATCAAAGAAGATGGGCAGCACAATCACAAATTGTGTTACCTAGGGAAGACTCTGCTGCATAAGAAGTACTCCTTAAAGACTGTTGCTAAATGAAGAATTCTTTTGAGGATAAAGACAGAGACTGTTGAATTCCTGCACTGAAATCTGACTCCAGGAAAGGATGNTTTGAGGACCCCTGATCTAAAGAGTTCTAATGGGCTCATAAAAGGAGATACAGTTCTTCAATTAACCAATTATGTAGGTTCTGTTCCATGAAAATTTTTACTACAAGTAGGCTGTGATACATATCTATTTTTAAACTCCACTGAACTCAATTAAATTAAACTTACTTTTGAGTATACACATATAGTATTGCACTTCTAACCTGTTCACATTTAAGGTGCCACAGTACACTTTGTTGATTTTTCTTCAATAGACTAACATACTGACCTCCATTAAGAAGTGCTTATTAAGATGTACATGACTTTGAGAAAGCTGCTTACCAGATGTACATCACTTTGAGAAAGCTAGCTCTCACCACAAGATTGCAAGCAATAGTGGAAAGAAAAGGTTGTGCATGCGGTTACTCATACAATATCAGAAAACAGTAAGGAGCAGGAGAACCAGGACTAGCATCCATGGAAAGAAAGAAGAAAATATAGAAATGGCCAATGGAAAGCTCATGCAGGACTTCAAAATGAATGCCTTTTGGGACCACTGAGAAATCATCAGAGCTCTTTAATAAAAACACCTGAAAGCTGTGCTTCATGACCCCAGCATTTTGTATTTGTCACTTATCCAGAGCCACATAAGGAGGTAGAAGGTATATAAATCTACCAGTATATCTCTGGGCGATTTATAGTAAATCAGCAAGGGCCTTATCTTTTAAGTCTGTACCAGCAGCAAAATTAAGGTCTGTCAAGGCTGATGTCTATTGTGGTGTATAACCATGGAGTTCAGTAATTTAACTCCAACTGAGCCATTATTTTGCAGTGGACTCCAGTTGATAGACCTTAAGCTTCTAATATCCCTTAATGGTCTAACTGACACAGACATTAGTCCTATTTTGATGCTAAGTTAAAACCTGTTTTTTTTTTCTTTTTAACAAATGCCTTTGGGACCTAATGACTTCACTCAGTAGAACCAGCATACAATTTTATATAGTTTTAAGATCAACTTTTAAAAATATGCTGTGTTGCTTATTAGAAAATACAAAAAAGTCATTACTGCAAGATTCTAAAGGCTCCCATTCCCTGTTAGAGAAGATACATGTCAAATAAAATTAAAGTGCTAGAGCATTGTATGGTCTTAAAGCGAATTCCCTTCCCAGTTCCTTATCCTGCATGACACTCCACCCCCTGCCCTTCACACTAAAAAAGCAGAGTTTCATTACCTTGGCGCTGGTGGAGTGAGGCATTGCAGCTGAAGTGCTGCCGCTGCTATAACCAGGTCTGTACTTATACATGGTAGGAGTTGGAGGGCTGTCTTTGCCTAGCAAACTGCTGTCTGCAGAGAGAAAGGGAGATACACACATGCACTCACAAGCAATGCGATACACAGTCACTTGCAGCTTCACCCAGGAAGTACCAGAAATCTCCCTCTTAGCATTGAATTGAAGTTCCACATACAGCAAATGACTGATCCGTGAGAGCCAGGTAAGAGCCTATGGAAGGTGGAAACACCACGGAGGTCAGAGAATCAGTCAGCAGCTAAGAGATATAGAACTTGGGTGGAGGTGAAATGGAACAAGAGGAGCGTTTCCCCAATAATGAGATCACAAAGCAGCTTCCAGTCTCTGCATGCAAGCCTCGCCAGTCCTGACTTCTGTGGCTATCCATTTTGAGCACTACTGGATGGACGGTATTAAAACTGACTGGAAAAGTCTAAGGCAGAAACCAAAAAAGTGGTAAAAATATCTTGATACATCATATATACTTCCAGGTGCTGCATCTTCTTGGAACATTGCAGCAGGCATATTGCCTGAAAACAGGAAAGGAGGGTATTTTTCCTTATTATTTTTGTTCCATATCATCTCTATGATAGCAGCTGTACAGTCAATCCCCAAATCCTGACTGCCCTCAGCAATCTTTGTTTCACCCAGAGCCAAAGCTAGAGTTCTAAGATTCAAACAACCTAGCTACCAATGCAGTATTTGTTCCAGTAGTACATTTGCTCCTTGCTAGAAAAGCAAGACTGACATGTGAACTAATGCAATTCCATCTTAATATTTGGCCAACAGTAACCAGTAAAAGGCGGCCTAATGGTTATACCACACAATAACCATTGCATTTTGTCAGTGGTTCAGTAACAACCAGAATCTCTACTGGATAGTGGATACTGCAACTGGGGACTAGATCATTGAATGAGTTGGTTATGTCCCTTGTCTTCCTAGCATGCTCCTCTTACCCTCATTGGTGGTCAGGGTTAAATGCGTCCTCAGACCTGTGTAGCGGCTGAGGTCTGGTTTAGGTGGGGGTGGTGGCTCAGCATCAGCAGATTGGCTCTCCATCACTTCAAGACTTCCTTTGGACTGCAGAGACAAAGGGCAGAGGAGTAATCAGAAGAATGAGGCAGGACTCAAAGTCCTGAACATTGTCCCCAGGTCAATAAAAGCTCACAAGTGATTAGAAGGACCTGCAGCTATCTAGCATTTCTGGAAGGGCAGTCGTAGACTGTGCATGTCTCGGTTACTGGATGAAAAGGGAAAGGGTAAGTCAGATTATCAAAAATACAAAGGGAACAACTCTCATGCAGCAGGGGCTACATGGGAGGGAAGCAGACCTTCATTTAATGGGGAAAATCGAAAATAAGGAGCAATAACATGCAGGTAGAATGTCCAAGTTCCTACTCACGTACACAGCAGCAAAGTTTTGAGAAGGCCACTGCCTGGGCAGCACCTTCATATCCTTCTCACCTTTGTTCTTGTCAGTTCAGCCTGGATACCATTGTCCATTATCTTTACAGCAATCTGCCCATCTGATATTTCTGGTCGCAGGAATGGTGGCCTCACTAATACAGTCTGCTCTGTCTTTGGCCGCCCAAGATACCTAGCAAAATACCAGACGAAAATAAAACACCCATAGACTAAAATCAAGAAAGATGAAAAAGCATCCTTCTTGCAAACACAATGTGACCTAATTATGTTTACACATTTCAACAAAATAGAGGAAGGATTTGAGGCCCTGACTTCTTTGTATTCAAAGAACTGCAAAAAATTGCCACCAGAGAAGGGATTGACTTCCCATGCATTATTCTCCAAGATGTATTGTCCCCATGATTCCCACATACTGTATGATAAAATCCTAATATCATATGTGACACATGCTCTTGTGGCTCTCTGTGTAGGACAGAATGCATCTTTCCCTCAGCTTTGTATTTTATACAAGTGGACATATCACCACGCTCTCATGTAATAACAAAAGAAGGAAAGAAGGAAGAAAAGAAGTAATGCAAGTGACTAAATCTTAGAGAACATGTATTTCCCTAAATGTAGCAACTGCTAAATGTTTTTCAAATGACATCAACAGAATTCTTTAAAAAATGTCTTGTATTTCCATAGAATAGATACATCCCAGATTGAGTAAAGAAAGAGGCTAAACTGCCTTCTTTGAAAGTGAAATCAAGATTAAAAACAGGAAATAATATTTATCCCCTATACCCTTTAGTGCATTATATTCATAGTAACCAGAATTCAAGCAACTGGAAATTTAAAAAAAGTAAAATTGCATGTTGCTTTTATCTACACAATCCACACAAGTGGCAAAAACACATTAAATATCTATGAATGGCTATATGGAAAGCAAAACCCTGCTATAAAGGAAAGCTATTACCATTTCAGACTACGGCAATCCTTCAAAAGATCTAACGGTTTTTACAGAATTGTATTAGAGGCAGTATTTGATGCTCTGTGGCACAGTATACATGTATATGGCACAAAAGGTGTATCAATGTAAAAGGGCATCAGAATTCAATTGTGGCTAATGAGCTTTGTGCATCACTATACAGTATATAACATACAAGCCCTTTCCTCTCTAAAAAAGATGCATGCTAGACGGGTAATAACTTATTACCAAAGGTGATCAAATGTTAGCTCATCTGAGGTGAGCAAAGCTGTGGGAAATAATCGGCCTGCATAAGGGCCGATTATTACTTTTAAAGAAATCAGAGGCTCCTTCAAAGAAGACAGAGTCCAGTCAGTAGTCTATATACACAATTAATTAGTGTTTTCCCCACTTATCTGGAGAACTGCTATCATTCCCTTTCTTAATTGCAGTCTATAAAGGGCAAGAGAATATTATAGCTACTGTGTCACATATTAATATTCTAAGGCCAGATCTGGCTGTCAGCTATTATTATCACCTTCCTACAGAAACATTCACATGGAAGAACTTACCTGGGGGCTGGAGAACTACAGAGAACACGGCTGACATTCTTACAGCAACCATTGGTGAATGGGTTTACCCCACCCCGAAATTTGCCTGTGACCTGCAATGGCAGAAGATTGGTCAGGGGAACCAACATACAATGCAACAAAGAAAGAAATTAACAGAGAGATATAGTGCATACCTGTTCATTGGTAGTGCGCCCTCGGGCGACCAGTACCACATGGAATCCTGTAAGGCCAGCTACAGGAATGAAAAACAAGCCAGCCACACACATCACCGCCATGCTGCCAACAAAGTCAAGGGGAAAAAATACTCAAAGATCATCATGCAATTCTTATTTGGGGATTCATTTCCCAGCCACATACCCACAATCACTGTTCCAGCGGAACACCAGGATTACTATTTTTCATAAGGTATTCCTCATAAAGGAAGGATACGTCACAGCCATGCGGATTCCAGAGAGCTCCTCTACTTGATACAGAACATACAACAAGCCAAAACCAAATACGCCCATGATATGTGCAGTAAGTGAGAGCAGGAAGAGGAAGAAATAGCGGTAATTGCGTCGCCCAATGCAGTTGTTGACCCAGGGACAGTGATGGTCAAACTCCTATCAATAAGAACATAAAAGAACAAAATTTTTTAAAAAAACTTCCGTTTCTAGAAAAAATGTTCCAGTCCAGTTACAGTATTTACACAACTAGTCCCATCTCCAGCACACTAGATTTCAACAAAAATTTATAATCCCAGAGAAACCAAGATGCAACTTATTTTTGCAAGGGTATGCAGGAAGACTGTGGTCAAGGAGTAGACTACAGAAAACTGTAAACCGGCTACTTAAGCCTTGTGAGGACTCCTCCCTTTTAAAAGTATATTAACTGTAATGCATTGAACAGTTATACACCAAGCAGGAAGAGACACAGATTATTATTATTATAATTATTATTATTATTATTATGTTTATATCCCATTTTTTCTCTCCATAACGAGACTTATGTAGATACTTGTAAAACTCAAACTTCTTTGCATGCAAGGTCCTGTAATAACCACATAACCTCCCATTCTTCTCCAAGCCTGCCAGTCACGACAGGAACAGGCACAAGAAACCTCAACGGCTCATTTCAGTTTTTAATGTTAGATTGCAGAGGTATATACCAAAGAATTATTGTTGTGTTACATTTTATTTATATCCTGCCTTTCCTTCCAGTGTGTAATTTGAGATAGTACATCACTGCTTCAGATACACCTTACAATGCTTCAAGTCTGAAAAAAAAGCCTGTCATTTAAATTCAAGATTAGAACGTTTTCGGTTTTCTCATCTGTAGCATTTATACTGTAAAATTCTATAGACAGTTAATTTCCTTGTTGTCGCTCTCATATTTTGTTTCATCTAAACTGTTAATAACACCAGTGGTGGTGTGATAGGTATAGTCTAAGATGCAATGTTTACCATTCCCCCCAGTTTCTCACCTCTACGCAGTTATCACAGACACTGCAATGGGAACAGCGTGGGGGTCGGTAGAAGCGGCATGTTGCACACCATTTCATGCGCACCTGAATACCCTTTATCTCCACTGTCTTGTAGAGTGGAGCTCGGAAGTCATCTTCCTTATCCTCATCTTCTTCAGCTAAAGTAGAGGAAAATAATATCAATGAAGCAGTGTTCTCCTAAGCTCAACAATCCCCCGTCTCCACTCCCCAGGTTCACTAAGGTTGCCTCTAGTATGTGCTATTGTAATTTAGCAAGATTCTCCTCTATTCTTCCGAGCTTGGAGGAAATGTGGGAAGGGACTGTATTTGGCCTTGGGAAAGCCAAAAAAATAAATAAAATAAAAATAAAAATAGGAGCAAAATGTCAAAGTGCTTTTTGATTTTCTCTCAAGCTCAGCAGGATGGAGAGAAACCTTTGCACCAACTGAAGTTATAGAAGAAGATAGGGCTTTCTCCCTAATTCTGTGTTGGAGTTTTGGAAGTGCTTAAGTCATAATAATTACAAAATGAAACATGATGGATATAATTTCTTACTTCTTCTGAAAAGAACACAGTTTGGGTTGGCTTTTACAGTAGGTTTATAATTACGGATTATTCTCCATTCAGCCCAAACACTGCAGTAGCTTTCAAGAACTCATCTTCTCCTTACATTGAAATTTAATGCAGCCAGACCACTTCGTTTCAAAAGCATTCGATTAAGCTTTATCCATGTTGCCTTAAGAAAAAGTTTTAAAATGGCCTTCCTCAACATGGATCCACACATATGTGCTAGACTCTCAATTATTGCTTTCCTTCCTCAGTGAAGAAACAGAGTCAAAGGCAGGGATCCTATTCTTTTGTAACAGTTTGCTACATTGGCATAAACATTTTTTTCAGAGTTGCATAGCAGAATCAAATGAAAAGTGAGAGGGTACACTCCCAGCTCCTGAACAGACTGTTTTTGAAGTAAGGACACTCTAGAAGACTGCCATGAAAGATTGCAATTGCCTGCAATTTTCTAGGCAGCTTTCTCAAAATGCCTTTAGCTTCAATGGATCCACCTGGAATGCAGACAATGGGGAAACAGGCTGATCAGAAGCTGGCATTTTTATTTCTGGACAGCAACAAAGAATTCCCTTCCCACTGCTACCACCACACCCTTTTTAGTACTGCCAACAGTATCTTGATCCAAATGCTCTCACCACACAATTCATTTCAAAAATTGTTTTAAACCCTCTTGAGCTGGTCAACAGAATCAAGAAACTGGTGTGCTGTGAGTTTTGCTGTGAGTTTTGCTATATAGCCATGTTCCAGAAGCTTTATCTCCTGACGTTTCACCCACATCTATGACAGGTATCCTCAGAGGTTTTGAGGTCTGCCATAGATGTGGATGAAATGTCAGGAGGGAATGCTTCTGGAACATGGCCATACAGTATGGAAAACTAACAGCAACCCAGTGATTACGGCCATGAAAGCCTTCGACAACAGAATCAAGAAAACTTATACCCTCAACAAGAAAATTGAGCCAGACATCCTCAGCCAAAACCTTTCCAGATTATCAATGCCTTAAAAGATGCTTCCTGGGCAGGAATAGTTCTCACCTCGAGGAAATATGCCTGGATCCATGAAGGTAGCCATACTGAAGTTGGCCAGTACAAAGAGAAAAACCACAGCATTGTAAATGGGTATGATTGGAGAGATGTAGAAACTGAGCCCCGGGCACCTGCACAAACAAAGAAAAGGTAAGCTAAAACAAAGCCAGCAATCTTTCCAGTTGCATTAACTATATTTTCTTTCTGCATCAAATAAAGACTTGGAGATCTTTCCATCTAAATAAAGACAAAGCATTAGCAAGCGGGGGGAAAGCAACACATAGCTGTCTCTCAATATGCTCTGAATGAAAATGAAAGTGCCCCCAGTAGTCACTACTGTATCTATTTTTACAGAACCTCAGAGTGAATGAAAATGAAGTGGAAAGCATGAGAGTATGGATGTGAAGAATACTGGACAAAGCTTCTGTTATATTTAAGCATCTTATTGAGGAGGGGAGGAGCTGATGTTAACATATTCAACAGGTGCTCCACTGGACACAATGAAAATTATATTTGTGCACATTACTGTATTTACTTGTGTATAATTTGACGGCATTTTGGTATGACCCACAGACAAGTCAAGGGTAACATTTTGGCACACAAAACAAACAATTTTTTCTTTCCTTTTAGAAAAGGGGACATGTCTGGTAAAAGATAAAGAGAAGGAAATGATGATGTGTTTCTTTGAGGGGTTACAACGAATTTTAAACTGCATTTTTGATTTTCAAAAATCTACATCTAAACAGAAACAAGGAAAGGAACATGCATGAGGAGAAATTATAACCGGGGAGAGAAAAAGCAAGAAAAGCCACCTGTCCCTATTTGGGATCCAGCACAAGGGCAGTGACAAGGGGCAGAGGTAAGAAACTCATACTGTAAAAGCCTGGTGGCCCCTATTAAAAGTGGCAGCCACCACCATTGAGTGCCCAAAATAGGGGAGAAGGTTTACAATGTACTTCTCAGATTCCTACAATGCTGCTGAATACTACTCAGGTGCGAAAAAAGGAAGAAGGGAGGGCTGCCTTTCTACACTTTGAGCAAGGCAGGGGCAATGGGGTGAGAGCTTCTGGTCTTTACCTCTTGCCACCACCTTTAGTCTGGATCCTTATTTTAGCACTGACCCATGTATAAGCCAATCTAGGCTTTCAAGATCAATGTTTTGTTTTTTAAATTAAAGTAATACCCAAGTACATCCAGTACTTTGTTTTCAGCATATTTGTCATGTTCAAACACAGAGATCTTGTTAATTCAACACAGAATGTCGAATTCTGAAGAATTTTAGTTTATGGTGATTTGTGAATCTACCCATTGCACACTTAACTAGCCTGGATAGTCTAAATTTGAACCCTATAGAGATCTAAACAAATATATAAACTGTTTAAAAATATTTAACGACTGTTTTCTGCTTTTAAAGTTTAAACATTTACCACATACTGTTTACACAGTCTTTTGTCTTAACACTGTAAGCCACTTTGTTTCCTATAACGGAAAAAAACAACAACCTAGGATATAAAAAATCTGGATGGACAATAAATATAGAACTACACCAGTCAGGCTAGTTTATAAGTACGACAGTAATTTTAATCTAGCATTATACAACATAGGAATGGCAAACTGATATGATTTCTCCACCAGGGCAAAGAGTGAAAAAGTCATATTTAGAACATTTACTCTTGTTCTAAAGAAACCTACTCTATTTTATATCCAGGAATCTACTGATGTATACTCTGCCTATGCCATTGCAAATTGCTAGCATTACTCCAAACTCTAACAGGAAAACAATAGTAGCATTTAAATCTCTATATCAGTGGTTCTCAACCTGGGAGTCGCGACCCACAAGAGGGTCGTTAGGCCATTTTCGGGGGGTTGCGAAGCTGCCTTGGTTGGCCCCGCCCCCTCCAAAATGGCTGCCGTGTGGTCAGCCTTTCTGCCTGGCCCACGCGCCTTTCCGAACTCGGAGGGGCACGTGGGCCAGGCGGAGGGCTGCCCGCAAGACCTCGCAAGATCTGTTTTCCTCAAATTCCATCAGTGTTCAAATTTGGGCATATTGAGTATTTGTGCCAAGTTGGGTCCAAATGCACAGTCGTTCAACAGTGCTCTCCATTTGTAGGTGAACTACACCTTCTGTAAATCATTGTCAATTCTTCCCAGCCCCCTCCAGTATTTTCTGTTGATCATTGGGGTTCTGTGTCCTCTGAGGATGCTTGCCATAGATGCAGGCGAAACGTCAGGAGAAAATGCCTCTAAAACATGGCCATATAGCCCGAAACAACCTACAACACAGTGATTCCGGCCATGAAAGCCTTTGACAATACAAGTTTAAGATTATATCTCTATCAAACCCAATGCCCTTCTCATTCTGGCTCCAAAATGAGAGAATGAAAACCATCAATGTTCAGCTCCATTGGACAATACCTAAGTCTCCCAGTGAAAATATGTTTTCATTTCCAATAAGAAGACATTTTAGTGTATAAGCTGAAATTACACTACTATTTATATACTACTCCTTTTACAATCACAGTAAATTTGGCTTTCCACATTTACAGGTTTGGGATTCGTGGATTAGATTATTCACAGCTTTGCTGCCCCACCCTGTCCTGTGCTCTGACATTGCCATATTCATGCTACAGCCTTGGACTTTGGGAGGAAGAAAAACAAGTGATTACCTTAGCAGCTGCCAAGCAGCCCCGAGGCCTGCGGCTGCTGTGTAAATGTACTTGCAACACCCTAAGGCTTCAGGGGAGAAAAATAACAGCGATCTCCTTTACCAACCACTTACGGAACCTTGATGCTGCTAGGATGTTGAGGGCAGTTAGCAGGCAATCACTGCTGCTTTCCCACCTCACCCCGTAATTTTGGGGAAAGTGAAGAAAGCCTAGGCCCTGTTGCCAACCAACTCTGGCAGACAGCTAGTGTGTAGGCCAACTGACGGCCAGAGCGGTTAGTAAATGGTTTGAAGCTGCTCTGCCCATCCTATAGCTTCGAAAGAAGTGGAGGATATTTCCAGGAGCAGTTGCAGTTTAAATGCAGTCAAGGCAGAAAAACATAACTAAATCTTCACTGGCATAGTTTGGCAATACTACTACCTTTTCAGAGATGGGTCCAGCAAGCTAAAATAGTTTTCAGGCCTAGGCATATAAAAAGAAATTGATCAATAGCTTTACTACAGTGCTAAGATCTTAAACAGCAAAGAAGAGAGATACCTATTGAGATTTGTATTTATTTGTTTATTTACAGTATTTATATACTGCTTTTCTCACCCCTGGGTGGACTCAAAGCGGTTTACAAAAAATAATGGCAAAATTCAATGCCTTACATACATAAACCAAATCATAAATCAAATAGCATATGACTAAGCATAAAATGCAATAGGACAATTTCACCTTAAGATAATAGGACATTTAAACATGAAGTATAAACATTAAAAACACCTAATAAAAATATTAAAATCACATGATCTAGGTAATTATTTCAAGTTAATAACTGGTCTATTAATCAAATAACTAATAGGTATTAGGTGACCTAATAACACCCATACCCAAACTCATTCTTAGCTATGGATAATGATAGCAAGAAATATCAACCAATCTTAATCTGTCTAGATCAGCTCACTGTAGGCTAGCCATTTCTCCTGTAGAGTATTCTCTCTTTTGTAATATGTCTTGTGTGGAGATATCCACCCCGGGGTATTTGTGTAAATTCTTTTTTTTTTATCTATTCCAGGTGTTTAAAATTGGCCTCTGTATAAAGTGGTCATTGAATATGCCTGCTGATTTCTCCTTTAGTATATCCAAATATGCATGCCACCCAAAAGGGAGATTTATACCTTCTAACTCTAATAGCTCATTGTCTTCCAGGGTCACGCATTCTTCGAGCCAGTCCAGACAACTTGCATGAAAATAAAGCTGTAGATTTGAGGGGGATAAGCCGCCTCTAGTTTTATCATCATTGAGTATCTTTAGTTTTACTCTTGGTTTTTTCTTGGTCCAGATAAATTTTGAGATGATTTTTTTTTGCCAAACTTTGAAAATATTTTCAATGTTGATGATTGGTATGTTTTGAACCAAAAATAATATTTTTAATAGTGTCAACATTTTGATAGATGATATCTTTCCTAATAGGGAGAGCCCTTGCTTATCCCATTTCTCTAGTTCTTTTCTTATCTCTCTCCACACCCTTTTGTAGTTATTTTTAAGTAGCTCTGAATCTTTTTTGTAATAAATATTCCTAGGTATTTGACTTTCTGTACAATATTATATGCTGTCTTTTTCTTTAGTTCTTGCTTTCTCAATTCTGTCAAATTCTTAGTTAAGAATTGCCTTTTCTTTTTGTTGAACTTTAGTCCAGCTATATCCAAGAGATTTGTCAATATGTTATTTAATTCTTCCATCGAGTCAGTGGGGTTTTCTAAGATTAACACACTATCATCAGAAAGGCTCGGAATTTATAGTCTTTTCCTGCAACCTAAACATCCTTTATCTCCCTGTTCCCATTTATTTGTTTTATAAGCATTACTATGCACATGATGAACAGGAGTGGTGATAATGAACAGCCTTGTCTTGAACAGTGTCTCATTTCAATTCTTTGTGTTTTGCGTTTTCTCTCCATTAATGATCAAATATGCATGTTGGTCTTTGTATATAGATTTGTTGCTTTTATACATTGATCTCCCCTATTCTGTGCTCGTAAGACTTCTAACATGAAGTCCCAATTTAAGCTATCAAACACTTTTTCTATGTCTAAAAATAGCGCTAGTTTCCTGCTACGGTATTTATCAAATAGTTCAATTATGTCAATGAGACATCTTGTATTTTGTTTGGTGTGTCTGTTTGGCAAAAAGCCAGTTTGATCATTTGAGATTGTCCTCTTTAAGAAATTTTTCAGTCTGTTGGTCAAGATGGCCATAAAAAGTTTATAATCCACATTCAGAAGTGAGCTAGGTCGGTAATTCTTTGGTAGTAGGGGGATCTTGATCTTCCTTTGAATTAATGTTATGTATGCCTCTTTCCATGTTTCAGGTATTTCTTTTAGCAAGTTCATAATAGCTTATAGAGGTGTAATTGGGTTCTTCTGAAATACTTTATAACATTTTCCTGTAAGACCATCAGGCCCCAGAGCTTTATTGACTTTA